AGCATTACTTTATATTAAACTTTATATTTAAAGCTCTTTCATGATTCCTTAAACATAATTAAAATGTTCAGACCAAGATATGTCCAAGTGGTGAAGAAATATCTTAAATAAAATCCAGTCTTCACCCCCATTAAACTATAAAGCTTTATATGTGGATCTCATCAGTGGAAGATCATTTCTCTTTTGTTGCTTTTCTCCTGATATTTTCTCTCCTTTTAGCCATTCATTCACAAACATCCAAGTGTTTACAGTGTTCTAGACATCATCCTGAATGTAAGGAGTCATTATTTCTCCTTCCTTTTTAAAATAATTTTGAGGTTTATTTCTTCGTTTTCTTCTTCTACTTCAGCTTCACAGCTTTTCTGAAAAACTCATTTAGTGAAGGATATCTGTGGCTCACAAGTGGGCTGCAAACGTGACCAGGGTGCTCAGAGCACTGTGTCTCCAACAGAGCTGGTGACATTCAGGAGAGAGTAGACTCAGGTCCGACCTTCCACAGGGTTGCCCCACAGGTTCTGATCCCTGTTTAAATTGGTAGTATATGAACAGCTGAACAGGTTAAATGATCTTCAGGGCCAGCCTATGGGAGTTAGGTAGGGGTAAAGGTAGCTGGATCTCACATGGCCATCCAGTTCAAACTCTGGCCCTGGCAGTTTGAAAAACACACAGGGCATGTATGTGTGCATGCTCAAAATCCTGACAGGAAGAGGTGGAGAAGGGATTGTGGCAAGAACATGCCCCGTGGGGGAGTTGGGGGGGAGGCACTTTACCTGTCACCCTCTATCTCTCTCTGTCTCTCTCTCTCTCTAGCAAGTGTCTGATTTCTCTAGCAACAAATAAAAAAGAGAAGATAAATTTCCTAAACATGGTCAAAGAATTTTAGTATATTCCTAGTCATGATCAGGTTACAACCAGAATCTAGTCCTCAATAACCAGTGCCACTTGCATTTCTATCTAAGGGGAGCAGATTGTGTGCCCCAAAGGTTCTGAACAACTTTGTGACAACCTCCTAGCTTTATGATATTGTTTTACTGATTATGAGCAAAATTTTAACCGTCCTCTCTCCAAATGGTAAGCCATAGACCAATGTTTCAGAAGGACTTTTGAAATAAGAAAGCATTTTCCTCTACACACACACGGAATTTGGTACAGACACCCCATCCCTAAAACCAGAGAAAAACATGGCTCTCTAGCAAGTCTGAACATGATGTAGTCACTTTTTCCATATGTTAGCCTTACATTGAGGGCCCCCTTTGTCAACTTCATACACATCTAGCAGTAATTCCAGTACAAAATAAATAGAATTCTCTAGAGTTACAGTTAGGACTTGAGAAGTTTCCAAGTAATTATATGTAAATTTTACAGTAAGGTTTTTTTTAAATCACCACCTACAATCTATGAAGTACATTATTTCTTTAGGTATTACCAAACATTTGCTTAGCTCAACTAGGCTTGATGCTTCATTTAAGGCCTTCCACATATTTGAAAATATCAGAAAGGTCAGCTTTTGTGTGCTCCTTAAGCCAGTTTTCAATCAGTAAACAGATTTTTAAGTATTCACCTTCCAGCTGATTAGCATGAAAGCATTTTAAAATACACGAGCAGAGGGGTATGGAATGTTCATGTCCTCTCCAAAATCTGTATTTTGAAACCCTGATCTACGATTTATTGGTATTGGGAGAGGTGGGGCCTTTGGGAGGTGATTAGGTCAGAGAGTAGAACCTTCATGAATGAGATAAGTGCCCTTACAAGAAGAGAAAGGAGAGGACTTGCTTCCTCTCTTTCTGTCTGTCATGTGTGGCCACCACAAGAAGATGGTTGTCTGTGAACTATCGTAAGGGTCCTCACCAGGAAGTGAATCAGCCAACACCTTGATCTTGGACTTCCCAGACTCTAAAACTATGAGAAACAAATTTCTGTTTACCATATACCATATACCATATACCACTCTGTATATGGTATTATTTCCTAACAACCTGAGCTGATAAAGACATAAAAATTCTAAAAATAAGTAAAATCAAGTATCATTGACCAAGCCAAAAACTGGCCAGACCCAAAAGGGTCTAATTTCTTTTAAGCTGTCCCCCTTCTACATAATATCCAAGGAAGCAGTTTGCAGTAGTCTCATCCTAAAGGGAATGGTGTAATGCTTTATTAACAAGTATGAGAGCAATATGTGAGCCAGGAATCTGTCAAACTAGTCACATATATGATAGCGGAAAACATTTAAGTTAGGGCCACACCCCACTCATGCCTATGACAGCAAAAATGCAACATGAGGTTTATGCTTTGGTCATAATATTTAAACATCAAACAGATTTACCTACTCAAGCTTTTGCAGGAGTGAAAAGTTATGTATAAATACCTCTTAAGGTTTTCTGAAGACTAACAGACTGAAACTTCGGAATGTGCTGGTCTTTGGCCCCAAGGAGGCAGCAAGGATTTGACTTCTGGGAAGGAAAAACTCAAACACAACACCCACAAAACAGATTCTAAAACTTTAGGTTTAGTGAGGTAATGACAGAAAGGAGAGAAATAGAGACAAATAATACAGAGTCTTCAAATATTCATAAAAAATATGTGTTACAGAAACCCTGTGAGGGGCCAACAGGTGAAATAGTGGTTAAGGTGACTAGATTTGCACATGGCTGACTATGATTCAAGTCCCAGACCCAGTGGCTTGAAAATCATGCTGGGTACATGTACATTTGTATCCAAAATCCCAACAGGAAAATGGAGAAGGGATTGAAACATGGCCATTCCACCTGGGAGGTGATTTCTCACTTTCTTTCTCTCTGTCTCTTTGCTCTCTGGTTAGCACCTTTTAGGGCAGGAGGAACTAAAATACTAAAATATAAAAAACCACTATCCATGGATGCTACAGTCTTACAAAGTAGGCCCTCCCAACAAAGATGTCCCTCACCAGCATAGCTATAAAACCAGTTCACAACTATCTGAGTCTGTAATGTATTTCCATTTTCAATATAAACAGAGAATTTTTAGTTCAGGTTTAATATCTTTTGAGTCTTCCAGGAATACAAGTAGAATACAAATCGAAGGAAGCCTACTGAGTAGGGATGATGAGCGAATATCCCAGGGCAGACTGCTTCAATTTTCATCCCCACTAGGCTGTCATTGCCATGTACCCGTGGGTAACTTGGTCCTATGTACAATGGGAATCCCAGCAGCACTCACCTCGCCAAGATGTCCAGTGGGCGCTGAGAATGACACCAGACACACGGGAAGCCCCACACGAGTGAGGTTATTCTGGAAGTCTGTGTTGCTAGCACTTGACCAGGAATTGGCCACTTTGTAGAAATTACTTACACTGCTGACACCACTCCTGTTCCTGGTATTGAAATGCCAACATAGCAGGTCTGCATTTACAGCTACTGCGCTGGTGCTGACAGCATGTACACGCACATGCACACGCACACACAGTACGCACCTTGTTTCATCATGCCTTCGCATCTTATAATAATCATGCCAGAGCACTTATGTATACAAACAATCACTTCATTACCTTATATTTTAGTTAGGACATTATATTGATGTGCTTAGAAGGTAGTTATATCCCCTTTTAATTTCAGTTCGGAATAATAAAGGGGTGTGCTTTTATATATGAAAGCAAATTTTATCATCCATGGTTCTCATTTGATGATTGTAAAATGACTTTATAAAACATTTATTATAAAAAGGGATGGACGTTATGGGAGTCCAGCAGGGTTAAAAGACCACTGTTTTGAAATAGTATGTGAAGAAGTGTCATCCTACATTTTCATATGTTAACGCATGTTCATCCTTAAACCTGGGTTACTAGTATGTCAAGCAGTTTCCATTAACTTCTAAAAAATTCATATGAAACTATTGCTTATACATTTCAATAGTAGAGGTACATAAATCATTTTTAGCAGCATAACATTTTTCAAACATGATTCAAGAAATCCCCCCCCAAATAAAAATACAAGTAAACAAAGCTGCAGAGGCTGATCGAAGATAGAAAATGCCAAGACTGGCTCTGAGATTCCCCAGGGCTTGTGGGAGCAGAGTATGGAAAGTACCAGTCTGGTGCAGTGACATACGCTGGGCTCTGCTGAGAGTTAACACTGACTTCTTTTTATTTTATTTCTTTTCCTTCAGGTTTTTGCCATAGGCCATGTATACTTTCCAGAGAGAGACAGAGATATCCTCCATACTCCTCCTGGGATTTTGGACACACATGCACACACACACCCAGCATGAGTTTCAAGCTGTCAGGTCCGGGACTTGAACTGTGGTTAACCATGTGAGAGTCCAATGCCTTAACCAGTACACCACCTGCTGAGCCCCAAAGACTGACTTCTAAAAATTCATTTCAAGGTGGTCATTGAACTCACAAATAGCATTGTCTCCACAGAAAAAGGACTACCTTCCAAAGCTGTTTCATTCACTAAGTAGTGGAACTACAACACTGACAGTCTTCCCCTAAATCCAGGCAATGAGGTGGAGTGAGGTGTTACTGCCCCATCTCCTGGGCACACAGCCAGCTCAGGCTAACAGTGAAATAGCCAAGGGCTGGCTCTGCTGCCTTTAAATAGTCCCCTCCCACTCGCAGCCCCCCATGACTAGGCTCTGCCCTTTATAGTACGCCTAAGCACCCATTGAATCACACACTCCAAGACACCCTTGCCTCCCCCACGGAATACTTGGAATACTCGGATCTTCACTGCAGTTCCCTTACAGGCTGTCAGGAAAACAGCCTGACTGAAGTCAATCACACCATCGTGTGTGGCTATTAGTTCTTTGAATCCCCCAGGACATTTTAAACAGAAGATGCTCCTAACTTCAGCGTCTCTCTCGGTGGCTGACTACCTGGCAATTCAGCAAAGCAAATAGCATTGTGAGAAAGTCCGATTTCACGTAGGGTATACCAGTCCTGCTAGGAATATTCTTTAGCAAATTCCCCAACGATAATTTTACTTTATACATGCTCCTTCATTTCTCATCCATAAAACCCCAAATGCCTGAGAGGGTTTATTTTATTTTTCAACAACAGTGCTCACCAAACAGCCATGTCAACAGCCATGGTGGTCATTCATGAATTTGAAAACACCTCAAATGCTCTCAGTCATCAGTTTTCTGTATGACCCAGAACAGAAATATTTCAATTACATATTACTAAGAGTAAGAAAAATATACAACTATATTTAAAACACTTAAATTAACAAGATAGTATTTTTCCAAACTAACAAAATATCATACATTCAGTTTAAACAAGAGTCACTATCCAGACACACTTTTTCAAAATACCTGATGCTAGTTGAAAATGAGTGACCATGAGGTGTCTCAAGATATTTCTAATTAGCAAAATATGCACAGTTTTGAAGAAGTACACATTCTTTTCTGGAAGATAGACATTGAACAGTAAAAATGCAAATTGATGTATCTCATAAACCTAAATTGTTGCTTCACTTTTCGGAATGATACTTTGGCTTTGAGCAAATCTTACAGCTTCCTTCCCTTATAGACAACAATATATGACAACACCCCTCACAAATAACCATAAACTTTGTTTGTAATAAGCCCTATCAAAAAGGTGTTCATGTACTTCTGTGTTAACTGACCTATAGTGAGATTGTTATGAAAGTGGGGATTCACCAAGTGTAACAGACTTACACTTGAGAGCTTTGGACACTTGTCACGTGCTATTTCAAAGTCAAAGCTGCTACACTGACAAATATGGTAGCTTTAAAAATCAAACAAAAATGTTTTCTCCACTGGCTTTTTCAGGTAAGGAAGTTGCACCACCAACCAACACACCTGCATGACAACAGCCCCTGATTTTAGTCCCCCCTTTCAAAGACGAAAAAGGCAAACAATGCCGCCAGTTCCTCATAATGACCGCATTCTGGCCAGGACTCTTACTGACAGAGCAGGTCTCCATGTTCTGACTGGAGAGGAAGACAATCAGATACCCATGGCCTACCCCTCTCTCCATGAGCCAGCATCTAGGATGCTCCAGAGTTGTTCCATCCACTTACTTCAGGATTCCAAGAGGGGTAGCATACAACTTTCCAAGAAAGAAAAAGAGAAAAGAAAAACGTGACCTAAGGTCACCACATAACACTGTGGGTGAAATCGGAGCGATGTCCACTGAAGGAGGAGGAAGGCACTTGGCGGGAGGAGCGGGCAGGGGATGGAGGCGCTCTCAGTGAGTCAAAAGTTTCAGGCGGGTAAACCAGCTGACCAGGAGGGAGGGCTCTGTGGAGGAGGCCTTCGTGGTTGACGAGACAGATTTCTTTTTGGTCCCTTCCTCCTGGAATGGAATCGTGGCACTGCTGTGGAGATCCGAGTTGATGTAGCACCTGCTCCCCCGGATGTAGTCTGCACCTCGGACCAAGTGCCGCTCAGTGGTGGGTCTGGAGAACCGGTACTGGGGAGAGGGGCTCTCTTCAATGATGGGAGGGATCCGTTCATTACTGAAATACCGGCAAAGGGCGTCTTCCCCTGTTTTCAGACAAAGTCCGTAAGTCGGTTAAGATAACCCACTGCGCCTGCCCCACTCCTGAGGCCACTGTGAAAGTCGCACACGCCCTGCTTTCCTCCCTGCACCTGCTCCAAGGTCTTGCATGTGGCAGGTCCACTTCACAGGTATTTAGAAAACAGAACTGGAAGAGGCCCGTCCTGCTTTTGGCTGCCTTAACACCTCAGAATAATGGACAACAGAGCAGAATCAGGGAGCCTGCACTTCCTAACCAGTGGGAGACTTTCCACAATTTCCCTTACTGACAAAAAACAAAGAAAGTTGTATGCTTTGGATTAAGATAGTCACTCCTTCCCCACCTGTCTTCGCTCAATGCCCTCCATATGAGGCAGGATGTTCAGAGTTCTCCTCCTGCAGCACCCTGTCAGGAGCAATTTGGGGGGTAGAGGTGCTTTGGGTGGTCACCCTGAATGAAGGACAGGGACGATTTGCCTTTAATGGGAGGTAGTCAAAGATTTTAATGTCCTGCAATGCTTTCCACATTCCTGAATAAGGAAGAATGATCCTGCCCTAAATACTGTAGGCTTTCTGGGAGTGAGGTGGGAGGCGGGGAAACTTTAAAATGTAGGACACTTTGACAACATGTAGCATTCTTTTGACCCAAAAATTCCACTCCCCAAAATATTCAAAAGATGCTTACTGAAACATTTATAATTGGAGAAAAATAGAAATAACCTAAATTTCCAGCAGTAGCACACTGAATAAGTAGGTGCTACAGTCCTAAGATGGAATACTAATGAATTTATAAAAAATGTATGTTCTACATAGGAGTCACTTTACACAGTATTATGGAACATCTTTATTTTTTTACATTTTCACATTTTTCTAAGTATATAATATGTAAATATACGGAGAACTGGAGTACACACCATGGTTATTTCTAGGTTAGAGTAGCAGGTTCCAGCTTAGTTTTATGTTCCTCATGCTTTCTAGATGCTTCTCCAATGTACCTGTTTTGTTTTTGTAATCAAAGGGGAAAAGTCACTTTTAAAAAGTGCCCAGTGTCAGGGCCAGCAGGTGACATAGTGGTTAAGGTACTGGACTCCCACATGGTGAACTCAAGTCCCAGACATGGGGGCTTGATTTATCACTTTCTTTCTCTTTCTGGTCAAATTAAAAGTAATAGTAATAATAATAAATAAAATTGTTCTTTTTTAAAAAAAAAATGTTCAGTGACAAAAGATATACATCGTACAAACCTATTTATGTGAGGTGTCCAGAACAGGCAAACCCATAAACACGAAGTAGGTTAATTACTGTCCAGGTCTGGGGAAGGATGAAATTGGGAGTGACTGTGGACAGGTATAGGGTTTCTTTTTGAGGTGACAGAAGGGTTGTGGAACTGACAGATGCACAGTTCTGTGAATGTAAGTAATCCCATTTCATCTTATGCCTTAAGAGGGTAAGTTCTGTGCTATCTATGTTACGTGTCCATGAAGCTGTTATGTTAAAAATAAAAGTGAGATCCTTTCATTCTGAAACAATCATTCAAGAAAAATGGAGAAGGAAGAACAGGGGGAAGATAAGTAATTTTCCATTTCTCAATTTCACACTCCCCGATATCCCTATTCCATCTCTCTATAGACTAAGAGAAATGAAAAACTAAATCCAGCCTCCTAAGCATGGCAATAAAGATGTTCCCGTTTCTAAATCTAAACAAAAGCCAAACCTGCCACCTGCTGACTGCTCCACGGACTTTCACACTGGAACGGCTGATGCCTTGTCCTTTTTCATTTTAGCCTAAACCAGGTGATCCTGGTACTTGGATGAACAAACTTGACTAGGTCCCTCATAGAAGTCAAGAGTTGACACCTTAACTACCTGAAGTCTTTAACTGTCTTCCTTTTGCTGTTTAAAGCCTATTATACTGTAACTCTTCAGCAGTTCGTTTCAGCATTGCACAAGCATGTTATAATATCCTGCCAGTGATGACAGTCAAATGTAATCTGGCAGAAAATAAGAATTTTTAAAACACTTCCTTCAATGCCACTGTAATAACTAATAATGTTGATCATGGAGTGAATTGAACTTCTTTTACAAACTTAATAACTCTCCAACAAGAAGGATTTGAGCAGAAAAAAAAATCCATATTTGTTCATCAAAAATATACAATAACAGTAGTCCCAACATTTAGGATTAGACAGATGAAGAATTTATTTCCACTTGTTCAAAAATGAGACTACTAAGGTCCACAGCCATTTTCAAACACACAATGCTAAATAGAAGATTTATGATCACTAACTGAAATTATGTAACTTTGCCATTCTAGAAATAAATAGAATCTTAGAGGGGAAAAGGAAGCAAAGCATTAATGGCACAAAGAGGTGTGGTATTATCTGTTGAAGATATTTCGTAGTTTTATCAACAGTACTAGGGAGAAATGTTCACCTGTTGAAATATTCATTTTGTAAGACAAATAATAATGTGATTGAATGTATTGGAAGAAAATGAAATGAAAATAAATAATAAATAAATAAATAGAATCTTAGAGCTCTTTAACAGTTCTGATTTTATAGATGGGAGCATGGGACTCACTCAGAAGGTAGTACTCTCGTGTAGTTATAACTCATTCAGGCACACAGCTAAAGCTGGGACCTAGGTCTTGGACACTCTTTGGTGGCTTTTGGTTTGTTTAGGTTATACATACCTTTCCTCCCATGACCTCGAGGTCTGGCAAAAGGGTCCACGATCCCCATCCAGTTCCCATCAGCAGGCATGGACAAAGGCCTGGGTTTGCCTTCAGAGAAAATAAAAGGATGGTGACAAGGCTGACAAGCTTGGTGACTTGAGAGAATCACTGCCTTCATTTTTAAGTTAGACCCTGCAGTATCACAGCCACTTCAGCAGAAGCAATTACCAAATTTTAAACTAAGTCGTGTATATTAAAGTACCGTATTTCCATAGCAAACAGACTCTGTGGAACCGGTGACTTTTCAGAGCAAAGCAATTTCCAAGTTGAAATCCAGGTTCTGAAAGTTAAACCTGTAACATGAGCTCGCCCAGCTGGGCTTCGATGCCAAGCAGAGTGATGACGCAACAAGGCTTCACTTTAAAGAGAGGAATAAAGGTCTCATACTTAGAATATCATTGAAGTGTATGTTTTCCTCTTGCGTGGAAAGTTTGCCAAATCCATCCAACAGCTCCAAATAAGGAAGGGGGAGGGCAGGAGAAGTCAAAACAAACAGCAGAACAAAACGAACTCTTGGAAACTCACCATACGATGGTGTTTTCTCTCTCATTTTTGTGGGCAGAACACTGGTTTCCACCGAATACCCAGGCAATTGATAAGAATCAACCATGGTAGATCTTCGCCTTCGGCTCTCCTGGTCCAGGAAGGAGTTTGGGGACTCTGAACCCTTAGCACCAGGCAGTGGTTGTTTACACTTACTGAATCCTCCATAAACGAAACTCCCATTCTCATCCCTGGAAGATAAATGTACGATAAGTAAGTTGCTTACAAGGATTTGTACAGAAGAATTATTAGAATCATGTTACCTCCAGCACACAGAGAAACACAAATTCTCCTAAACCGGAAGAAAATGCAATTACTTTTTCAACCTCACTTGCTCCTCAAACATATACACATTCTCTTAAATAAGAGTAAACGTACGGCCAGCAGGTGGTGTGGAGGTTAAAGGCACTGGATCTCATATGACTGACTATACAGTTTGAGTCCCAGACCCAGTGGCTTGAAAACCATGCCAGCCACGTGTGCCCAAGATCCCAAGAGGAGAATAAGGAGAAAGGATTGCAGCATAGCCATTCTCCCCATCCCCAGAGGATGGGGTTATTTCTCACTTTTTCTCTCTCTGTGGCAAGTGCATACACCCTGTAGCTAAAGAGAGAGAGAATAAATGTGGTTTTTTGATCCATATGTGTTTAAATGGTACAAATATACCTTTAAAAAGATAGCTTTATGTTTTCTGTGCTTCTATCCTGTAGCTGAATCTCCTATGTACCCCAGGAATCACAAGTTAAGGTATGATCTATTAAACCATTTTTCGTATGCCAAGAGCAATATCTTTGCCAAGATCCAACAAAGAAGACTCTTAATGTGTAATAAAATTGTTAGATTTGAAAATTAGGTTGAAAAATACAAAGGGGCCTTTATAGTCACCAATGGAGAATGACTATTTTCAACTCCAAGCACGGAATCCGGCAAAAGTTGGCCCACCAGTTCCACCCTAATTCTAACGAAACATCAGCGTGAGATAAACACTAAAATTCATTTCAGTCATGTGTCAGTTAACACTGGCTAAATTTTTGCATTTAGCGAATTCTATTGAGTCATTGGAAAAGTCATGACATATTGTTCTGTGTTTTTCTATGCAAAAATGTGTCATAACTTTTCTGACAACCCAATATTAGGCTCTCGGCACAAAAACTGATAGACCGAAAGCAGAATCAGCCAAGTCCCAAAGACTTATGAGCTGCAGTGTCCTCAGGTGATGCTGCTGCCCTCAAACTCTCCTGCCTCGGAAGCCATCTCTCTGCACACCTTTAAAACTGGTATGTAACTCCCTTCCCACACAAAGCCTTCATGCCCTTTCTATTGCTTCACTGTAACTAGATGCTTCTCCAATGTACCTGTTTTGTTTTTGTAATCAAAGGGGAAAAGTCACTTTTAAAAAGTGCCCAGTGTCAGGGCCAGCAGGTGACATAGTGGTTAAGGTACTGGACTCCCACATGGTGAACTCAAGTCCCAGACATGGGGGCTTGATTTATCACTTTCTTTCTCTTTCTGGTCAAATTAAAAGTAATAGTAATAATAATAAATAAAATTGTTCTTTTTTAAAAAAAAAATGTTCAGTGACAAAAGATATACATCGTACAAACCTATTTATGTGAGGTGTCCAGAACAGGCAAACCCATAAACACGAAGTAGGTTAATTACTGTCCAGGTCTGGGGAAGGATGAAATTGGGAGTGACTGTGGACAGGTATAGGGTTTCTTTTTGAGGTGACAGAAGGGTTGTGGAACTGACAGATGCACAGTTCTGTGAATGTAAGTAATCCCATTTCATCTTATGCCTTAAGAGGGTAAGTTCTGTGCTATCTATGTTACGTGTCCATGAAGCTGTTATGTTAAAAATAAAAGTGAGATCCTTTCATTCTGAAACAATCATTCAAGAAAAATGGAGAAGGAAGAACAGGGGGAAGATAAGTAATTTTCCATTTCTCAATTTCACACTCCCCGATATCCCTATTCCATCTCTCTATAGACTAAGAGAAATGAAAAACTAAATCCAGCCTCCTAAGCATGGCAATAAAGATGTTCCCGTTTCTAAATCTAAACAAAAGCCAAACCTGCCACCTGCTGACTGCTCCACGGACTTTCACACTGGAACGGCTGATGCCTTGTCCTTTTTCATTTTAGCCTAAACCAGGTGATCCTGGTACTTGGATGAACAAACTTGACTAGGTCCCTCATAGAAGTCAAGAGTTGACACCTTAACTACCTGAAGTCTTTAACTGTCTTCCTTTTGCTGTTTAAAGCCTATTATACTGTAACTCTTCAGCAGTTCGTTTCAGCATTGCACAAGCATGTTATAATATCCTGCCAGTGATGACAGTCAAATGTAATCTGGCAGAAAATAAGAATTTTTAAAACACTTCCTTCAATGCCACTGTAATAACTAATAATGTTGATCATGGAGTGAATTGAACTTCTTTTACAAACTTAATAACTCTCCAACAAGAAGGATTTGAGCAGAAAAAAAAATCCATATTTGTTCATCAAAAATATACAATAACAGTAGTCCCAACATTTAGGATTAGATAGATGAAGAATTTATTTCCACTTGTTCAAAAATGAGACTACTAAGGTCCACAGCCATTTTCAAACACACAATGCTAAATAGAAGATTTATGATCACTAACTGAGATTATGTAACTTTGCCATTCTAGAAATAAATAGAATCTTAGAGGGGAAAAGGAAGCAAAGCATTAATGGCACAAAGAGGTGTGGTATTATCTGTTGAAGATATTTCGTAGTTTTATCAACAGTACTAGGGAGAAATGTTCACCTGTTGAAATATTCATTTTGTAAGACAAATAATAATGTGATTGAATGTATTGGAAGAAAATGAAATGAAAATAAATAATAAATAAATAAATAGAATCTTAGAGCTCTTTAACAGTTCTGATTTTATAGATGGGAGCATGGGACTCACTCAGAAGGTAGTACTCTCGTGTAGTTATAACTCATTCAGGCACACAGCTAAAGCTGGGACCTAGGTCTTGGACACTCTTTGGTGGCTTTTGGTTTGTTTAGGTTATACATACCTTTCCTCCCATGACCTCGAGGTCTGGCAAAAGGGTCCACGATCCCCATCCAGTTCCCATCAGCAGGCATGGACAAAGGCCTGGGTTTGCCTTCAGAGAAAATAAAAGGATGGTGACAAGGCTGACAAGCTTGGTGACTTGAGAGAATCACTGCCTTCATTTTTAAGTTAGACCCTGCAGTATCACAGCCACTTCAGCAGAAGCAATTACCAAATTTTAAACTAAGTCGTGTATATTAAAGTACCGTATTTCCATAGCAAACAGACTCTGTGGAACCGGTGACTTTTCAGAGCAAAGCAATTTCCAAGTTGAAATCCAGGTTCTGAAAGTTAAACCTGTAACATGAGCTCGCCCAGCTGGGCTTCGATGCCAAGCAGAGTGATGACGCAACAAGGCTTCACTTTAAAGAGAGGAATAAAGGTCTCATACTTAGAATATCATTGAAGTGTATGTTTTCCTCTTGCGTGGAAAGTTTGCCAAATCCATCCAACAGCTCCAAATAAGGAAGGGGGAGGGCAGGAGAAGTCAAAACAAACAGCAGAACAAAACGAACTCTTGGAAACTCACCATACGATGGTGTTTTCTCTCTCATTTTTGTGGGCAGAACACTGGTTTCCACCGAATACCCAGGCAATTGATAAGAATCAACCATGGTAGATCTTCGCCTTCGGCTCTCCTGGTCCAGGAAGGAGTTTGGGGACTCTGAACCCTTAGCACCAGGCAGTGGTTGTTTACACTTACTGAATCCTCCATAAACGAAACTCCCATTCTCATCCCTGGAAGATAAATGTACGATAAGTAAGTTGCTTACAAGGATTTGTACAGAAGAATTATTAGAATCATGTTACCTCCAGCACACAGAGAAACACAAATTCTCCTAAACCGGAAGAAAATGCAATTACTTTTTCAACCTCACTTGCTCCTCAAACATATACACATTCTCTTAAATAAGAGTAAACGTACGGCCAGCAGGTGGTGTGGAGGTTAAAGGCACTGGATCTCATATGACTGACTATACAGTTTGAGTCCCAGACCCAGTGGCTTGAAAACCATGCCAGCCACGTGTGCCCAAGATCCCAAGAGGAGAATAAGGAGAAAGGATTGCAGCATAGCCATTCTCCCCATCCCCAGAGGATGGGGTTATTTCTCACTTTTTCTCTCTCTGTGGCAAGTGCATACACCCTGTAGCTAAAGAGAGAGAGAATAAATGTGGTTTTTTGATCCATATGTGTTTAAATGGTACAAATATACCTTTAAAAAGATAGCTTTATGTTTTCTGTGCTTCTATCCTGTAGCTGAATCTCCTATGTACCCCAGGAATCACAAGTTAAGGTATGATCTATTAAACCATTTTTCGTATGCCAAGAGCAATATCTTTGCCAAGATCCAACAAAGAAGACTCTTAATGTGTAATAAAATTGTTAGATTTGAAAATTAGGTTGAAAAATACAAAGGGGCCTTTATAGTCACCAATGGAGAATGACTATTTTCAACTCCAAGCACGGAATCCGGCAAAAGTTGGCCCACCAGTTCCACCCTAATTCTAACGAAACATCAGCGTGAGATAAACACTAAAATTCATTTCAGTCATGTGTCAGTTAACACTGGCTAAATTTTTGCATTTAGCGAATTCTATTGAGTCATTGGAAAAGTCATGACATATTGTTCCGTGTTTTTCTATGCAAAAATGTGTCATAACTTTTCTGACAACCCAATATTAGGCTCTCGGCACAAAAACTGATAGACCGAAAGCAGAATCAGCCAAGTCCCAAAGACTTATGAGCTGCAGTGTCCTCAGGTGATGCTGCTGCCCTCAAACTCTCCTGCCTCGGAAGCCAACTCTCTGCACACCTTTAAAACTGGTATGTAACTCCCTTCCCACACAAAGCCTTCATGCCCTTTCTATTGCTTCACTGTAACCATTTACGTTTTTTAATTCATCAGAAAAAAATACATCAGTAAGGGGTGTGTGCGTGTATGTGCTCAAGTGTACACACATCTTCCCTAAAGTAGATGAGGAGCCCCGTTCCCTTTCTCCTTCACTGTCCATGTCTTTATCTTGTCCCCATTCCTCTCCCGTCTCTGAGGCCCAGGCAAGATTCGGACTGTGACAGAGGATCTCCCTACAGATTCTGACAGGGTAATCCATGTATTGGTCATCAATGAAACTCCAAGTCCCCCATGAACACAGGAAAAGACTCCCTGTGGCTTTCGACACATTTAAGACCTGGTGAACCTGATGCCCCTGATCACTTAAGGTACATTTTTTACAAGCTGTCCTAAGTTGGGTATGCCAAGACTCAAGGAAGAGGGAAACACTATTAAACCTTCTTGGCACGCAGGGGGAAAAATACAATTGAAACAAATAACTCAGCCTCAAATAAAAAACAAATGAACAAAAAAACTCTAATATAAAATATCACCACAACCAATTCAGCCTGAACTCTACCTTCTGAAATATGATAGCGTAGTTATGTATCTCTCAATATATTCCTGAAGAGTTGAATAAGACACTGGTAGTCCTCTCAGGGCAAGGACAGGGCCTGCCCAGGGTCATACAGTGACCTAGGCCCAACACTCAGTAAACGTATGCAAGACAAATAGGTCAGATTTGCTAGTTTTATCAGCATATGTAAATATGTGAATTGATTTAAATAAGCCTAGACCACACCTAAATCATCCCCTATACATCATCCAGTATGACCACCCTCACTACACCATATGACATTTAAAATAGTTATTAAGAAAGTAACTATCAGGGCCAGTAGGCACCATAGTGGTTACGGCACTGGACTCCCACATGGCTGACCACAGTTCAAGTCCTGGACCTGGCAACTTAAAAAGTGGCCCCAGGTGCACATGTGTGTATGATGCCCAAAATTTTAGGAGGAGAAGGGACTGCATGTGGCCATTCCCCCAGCAGGTAATTTCTCACTTCCCTTCTCACTGTTTCTCCCTGTCTCTCTCTGGCAAGTGGATATGCCTTATGGTGAAAATCTTTTTTTAAAAAAAAAAGAATGCAGCTATCTGTAATGTATAATGCGCACACACACACACACAAATATGAAGAGGCTATACCTACTCTTGCATGGGTTTATTTAAGTCTTATGAAGAACACATCTGTTTCAGCAAAAATCAAGCTGTAACTTGATTTATTTCCTCCCCAAAGATGAATTTACCATGAAGTTAAGGACTCTAACTGCAAAGACCCTCTAAACAGCCCCTTCCAAGGACCCAGAAGAAGCATAGGCTTTTGTACACTTTCCAAAAGTCAGATATTTCTGTATTCTTCTTCTTCTTCTTTTTTTTTTTTTTTAAGAGAGAGATTTTTGTTGTAGGGAGCATGCACTTGGCAGAGAGACATAGCCATGTCACAATCCCTTTTCTTCCATTCTCCACTCAGGATTTTGGGCACACATACCCACCATGAGTTTTAAGCCTCTGGGTCTGGGACTCGAACTGCAGTTAACTACATGGGAGTCCTGCAATGTAACCATTACACCATCTGCTGGTCCTTATTTCTGTATTCTTTTCTTAAAGGGGCTTCTTCCCACCAAAGTGTATAATGCCAAGCCCCACAAAACCTAGATTCACCCCTAAACTTCCTCTGAAGTAAGACTAATCACACTTTTGAACAGCAGTTCCAAGTTTCAGCCTGCCATTCTATAGTTCAGCAACTTCCTCTCACTAGATCCACATGGTCTTTATGAGGAGTCCTCATGAGGAATCCACATGAACCAGAGACAAGAACACCCAGGAGATGGATGTTAACATACCGGGGAGAGTAGGGAACAGCCGGCGGAGGAGGAATGTACAGGTCCAGGATGGCTGGCTTCTCCTTCTTCAGCGAGGTATCCATGGTGCTTTCAGGAGACTGAGTGGTCGTGGGAGGAGGTGAGGTCTGAAACGAGAGCAGCAGAGCAGTGCACAAGAGCGGAAGTCAACTGGAGATAGTTCCCGGCATGCCTTTCCTCACACACACACACCAACTCCAGCCCTGTGTGTGAGAAGAGACCAAGGCTGTCCATGTGTTTACAGCAATTAGCAATATTCAACTTCGATGTTTCTTTGAAACTCTTAGAATTAGCTGAAGTTTTTGAAGGACAAGGTACCTAGGGAGAAGGCGGCTCGGGAGCCAATGCCAGGTTATAATTCTAGCTCCAAACAAAGCACTGAGTCATCTGTGTCTCAGTTTCCTCCTCTGGCAGTACTGCTCACACAGAGTGGCAGTGAGGACTAAGTGAGTTAGTTCATGAAAATCACTAGCAGCACTGCTATTGACCAGGAGTGTGGACTTGGGACTCTGGCTATCTGGTGAGACCTGGCTCTACTTATCAGCTGTGTCTCACTGAGAAAATCTCGCCTTCTCCATGCTTCATTAACAGAAGGGAAATGAATGGGAACAAGAATAGTTCTAACAAGGGGTAGCTGTGACAAACAGGTGAGACACAGGTAACAGGCTTAAGGCACTGCTTGTCACATAGCAAGTGCACAGCCTTCTAGGGTTTGATTTATACACGTATACACACACACACACACACACACGCACACACACACACACACGCATATTCATACATAAGCGTTAACTGAGAGGGACCGGCCGGTGGTAACTGAGAGGGACCGGCAGGTGGTGTGATGGTTAAGGGTGGACTCCCACATGGCTGACTGTGGTTCAAGTTCCAGCTCTGGAGGCCTGCTTTCTCACTTACTTTCTCTCTCTCTCTCTCTCTCTCTCTCTCTCTCTCTCTTTCTCTTTCCCACTGTTTCTTTCTGGTCAAATTGAATAAGTAAATAAATAAAGTTAAATCATTCTTTTTTTAAAAAAAAGTTAACCAAGAAAATGGAAAATCCACACAGCTCAATTTTAATTATCTTATTGATTTAGAAGGATTTGTTTTGTTTTGTTTTTAGATTTTTTTTTTTACATAGGGTGTGTGCACTGAACAGAGAGAGACAGAGAGAGAGAGAAAAAGTGAGAAATCCACCCCCACCCCCGAGATGACTTTGTTGCAATCCCTCCTCTTCCATTCTCCTCTCAGGATTTTGGTCAAATACATACTTGTGCCTGGTGTGTTTTTAGGCCACTGGATCTGGGACTTAAACAGCAGAGTCAGTCATGTGGGATTCAGCACTTTAACCACCATGCCACCTGCTGGTGCTTGAAAGATCTATTTTTTTTTAATCCTGTGTGAGACCTTCAATCTTATCCCTTCTACATTCAAACAGTGACACCAATAATGACCTTTTTCTGGTTGGTAAAAACAGCAAAGAAATCTTACAGTCAAGGCATGTAAATGTTTGATGAAGGCCAGAGAGAGCTGTGCGAGGCCCTGGGCAGGCACAAAGGCCACCTCTTGTCCCAGCCACGAGCACAGGCAGAAGGGCTACTCTGCCTGATGTGAGAGGCCCTTGGGGAAGGCTGAATCCATGTCCGTTCTCCCTGAACATGCCCATGCAGACATGCCGTGGTGAGGGCCGACTGGGGGAGCAAGGGGTGTGGGAGGTCCACAGTGAAGACCCTATCAAGGGCACCTGTCTCTCCTTGCTTCTCTCTCTTTCTCAGGAAAATAACTTTTTTTAAGCTACATTCGAATTTTCTCTATCCCAAGTTGTGATGGTAGAGCTCACCAAAATGAGACCGTGAACTGGATTCTGAGGACTCGAAGGACTGAATAGTCAGTGTTGAGAGCACTAGAAGTGGCCACCAGGCAAGTCACAGAGCAATGGCTCATTTTCAGTAAAGACACGAGACACCGAGAGACAGGGTTTCAGTCTTTGACCTCCCATAGCATAATCCCCATAGCCTAGATCTTGGCCACTAATGTATAATCTGCCAATTCTACTTTCAATATAGGAGAGTCAATGTTAATGTCAACATTGGACCATGTCTGAAAGCTGAGGCCCAGGACCCAAACTCAAAACCAAAAGCAGATAAATGGGGTTCCATCAAGCCCAAGAAGTGACAATGATTATGCTCTTCTTTTGCGCCACTCTCTGCTTCGTGTCACACTGTTTTTAAATCTTCCCCCATGAACGTCACCTCTATTTCCAGTGCTCTTCACCACAAAGTGTCCGTGTTCACTCGTACAATAAAATCACAGTTACAAACGAGTTATAACCTCACTCTTATAAAAGGACATTTAAGCCTCATTGCTTTTTACTCTTGGTTTAGGAAATAAATACCAAAAAACAATGGTGTTAGAAGGGTGGTGGTCAGCGTGCACTGTGGGAGGCTGCGCACCAGTGAGTCTGCCAAAGCCATTTTTCATGAGTCTCTTACTATTGCCATCTTAGGCTCAGAGAGCAAACAATTACAAAGGCCACAATTGGCTCCCCTTCAAAAACCTCACCTTCAACACCACACTCTGATTGGCCACTTCCCATAGCAAATCGGTGAGCTTAGAATCCCTCAGATTTGCATATCTGGGCACCTCATGATTGGTCCACAAAGCAACCAATCATAACCCACCTTTTGCTATCCTTCATTCAACCAATCACGGCCACCAGCATGTATATAACCACGATGCCTGGCCCACAGTAGCCAGACGACCAGGAAGACAACACAGACGACCAGGAAGAAGACGACAACCAGGAGAGCCTGAAGAGCTGAAACACCGCACAGTCTCCAGACAACCTGGGAGACCCTGAAGAGCTGTAACACTACATCGTCTCCGGACGAGCCTGAAGAGTTGTAACACTGCGTTGTCTCTGTGCTGTACCTTCCTGTCCACAATAAACAGATGACTCTGAAGACACAGTGTCGTCTCCGTGCTGTAACACTACGCCGCTTGTCCTGGCTCTCACTCCTTCACTCAGGAAACCTGTTCGACTGTCCCCCCGGGTCGGGACAGTGCACAGTCTATCCAGGTACCAGTAATGAGGGAGTATACAGTTTGAAGAGAATTTAAATACTAAAACGCACCTAAAGTCAGCTTCTATTTTGTCACCATAGACTGGCAATTCTAAGTTACATCTAAACCATGGCGTGATACAACTCCTCAGTGGGCAGATTGCTCCACACCCCCACCCCTGCCTTAAGTAAAGCACTGCTGAGGACTCCACCCACATGAGCCCCCCAGGGTCAGTGTTCAAACTGCACAGCGACATGAGTATGTGTGTGAAACGGGAGAGAAGGACTAGATGAACTATCTGCTCTGATGAAAAATGTCTCTCTCTGCACATCCCACGTGGTGGCCACTAGCCCTATGTGAATACTCAGCACCTCAAATGTGTCAAGGGAACTGTGGAAATTCACATTTAATTTGATTTAGTTATTTAAATAGTCATGCAGGGCTAGTGGCTACCATATTATTCAATGCAGATTTGCGATGTCTATTTTCGTATAAGCAAGATTACAGAGTAACTATACTCAAACCCTTGAAAACTATCACCTTTAAGTTTTAATCTCTCTTTTATTTTTTCCTTTGTGAATACTATTCACAGGCTGATGTTAGATGAAGGCGAGCGAGGATTAGCAGGTACCTGCACAAGAGGCGGCTTCCACCGTAGGTTTTTCAGGGGAGCAGGAGTAAAGTTGAAAGAACCCGTGGGGCGTTTCTTCAGCAGTAGCACAACTCCTGTGGGATTCTCTCTCAATTTTCTCACCAGATTTTTCAGCTGCCACCCCACCTTCAAAGAAAGCAAATGAGGGGGGAGGACTTGCTCATGAATAATGAAAACCCAAACCTATGAATTAATCTCAAGGAAAGCAGAATTGTAAGCGCTTAGGTGGATACAGGTAGGCAGATGCACATATGTTCATCTTAGCACTACTTAAACTAGTAGAAGATAGGATATTCATTATTGCCATCTTAGGCTCAGAGAGCAAACAATTACACGTTTTAAAAATGAATAAAATGGCTCTGATTTCACTGAAAGCTTTAAAGGGGAGGATGAAATTTCCAAACTCAAACTCACCACTGTTTGCCGATTAACTTGAATGACTTCATCCCCAGCATGAATCTTCTGAGATTTGTCTGCAGGAGACTACACAGAAACAGAGAAGCCTGTCTTAATTTTTAAACCCTTCTATTTCTTTCTGCTTTTATTTCTTCTTTCTTTCTTCTGTAGATGATTAACAACCACAATAAGATGTTTCCAGAAAAAAAATAAAACAACGTACTTTAGTCTCCTGGGACTACTCGTCCATGAGCCCTGACATAGAATACTATGTCATCTGTTTTCTAAGGGTCTGCTATGACCATGAGGAACAGCCGTTGGAATGGACAGGTTCATCTAACCTTTTGGGGAGAGTCTGGGTACACTACTGAAATCATTAGCTGATAAAAGCTAAAAAGTACCATATATATTCCTCTATCAAAATTAATTTTATGGTGACCAGCAGGTGGTGTAGTGGTTAAGGCACTGGACTCCCACGTGGCCCACCAAGGTTTGAGTCCTGGACCTAAAGGCTTGAAAACCACACCTGGCATCTGTGTGTGCATGCCCACAGACCCGAGGAAACACTGGAGGAGAAGGGACTGGAGCATAGCCATCCCCCCCAGGGGGCAATGTCTCACTTTCTCTCCAACCAACTCTCTCGGTCTTTCTCTGGAGAGTACACATGCCCTATAGAAAAAAGCTTAAAAATATATTTTGTTAAAACTGACCTAATATGTGAAGATCATCTCTGTACCTCTATCACCCCTTTTCCTTATTAAAAGTAAGTTTTATTTTTGCTTACTCGTTTTATACATTATCTCACTGCTATTAAAATAGGAAGTTGGTGACAACAGAAAATTATTTCTTTAAAGAAAATTAAGTTTTTCACTTTCAGATTAAATTCAACATGAATGAGTATTCAGTATCAAACAGTACACATTCTGTTTTCCCCAAACTGTATCTTGCTATTAATTAACAACAATAACAAATGCAGTGGGATATCATCTGTTTGTCAAGTATTTTGCTCATAGTGTTTTTGTTTATATGAACAATGGAAGACAAAAACAATAAACCTTTGATTTGAAATTCCAACTAAGTATTACTTAAGCCAGAGTATTTAATTCTGTAACTTATGTAACTGGCTGAATTTTCACATCATTTATGACTATATATATATATATATATATATTTGCTATAGGGTGCATGAGCTCGCCAGAAAGACAGAGAGAGACAGAGAGATAGAAAGCGAGAAATCACCCTCAGGGGGGATGGCCATGCCACAATCCTTTCTCCTCTCGGAATCTTGGGCATGCACGCACATGCACCCAGCATATGACTATATTTTTAAAGAAGAAAGTTGCCTCTTTGTATATCCAAGGAGGTGCAACAACTAACCTCAAAATACACATGAATGTTCTCACCTAACTGTTATCATAGGCTCCACAAGAAATGAGCAAGCAGCATTACACGGTTGGTACATTCCACTTGATTTACCAAGGTCTAATGCAGTGCACAGGTAACTGTGACAATTATTTTCGAAAATAACTAACCTACCACTGTAATAACCAATGGTGCTCACCTTACCACTACGACTTAGCACTTTAAATACCTCAGGGAAATGGTCTATACAGTCTCTTTCACTCCAAATTTTCTCTCTAAAAAAAATGAATTTATTGCTGCTCTTTTTTGCCCCGTGTCACATGTCTAATCCGTAGTTAAACCTACTTTGTAAATCTGATCCCAGTTAATACAGTCCAATTAATTTTCCCAGGCAAGGGACTTATTTAATGGAAGTTCCACTTTATAAAAGATGCCCCCAAGGCCAAAAGATCCCTGTTCATAGATGTGCAATCTTAAAAATCGAGTGCCAATGTCCTGAATTGACTTCCCTTCCTAAGAATCCTCGTGCATTCATTTCTCAAATGTCCTACCAACTGATTAAGAATTGCACTTGGCAGAACACGGGTAAAGAGAGCTTGGTACCAAAGTACTCCTCGGGGCAGTAGTTCTTGCCCATCTCTACCAAAGGTCGGCCTTCTGAAAATGAAGCCTCTGCTGGTTTGCTGCTGAAAGGTGCTGACCTGGAGGATAATGCATCCATTCTTCACAGCTAATCTACTTCCCACCTAATCTTAGGGGAGGAGGATAGGAATAGGATGGGGCTGTGTCAAGACTCCTGTAGAGGTCAAAAAGAAGTCAGATAGAGACACTCCAGATACTGGTGGCCTGACCTAGATTGACTCTTACTTCTCAGGTAACCTCCAAAACAAATGTGCTAGGGTCTGGAAGTGGCCTGCAAGCACAGCTTCAGCTTGGAGTCCAAGGCAGAGGACTAAAGAGACAACTCACTTGGAAATGAAGAGATGAGTTGTGCCCACTGCCACCCACCGCATTAAGCTTCCATGAAAACTTTCTGACTCCAAAGCCATCATATTTGTACATGGGAGCTGGAAGGCTGACCTGAAGATGGTGTTTTCTACTGCCATTCAAATATAAAAGATCCCTCGCTGAATGGAAAACACCCAGACCAGGCCCTTGGGAAGCAGCTTCTTTCCTACCTCCCCACCCTCACCTAGAAGGCTTAGTCCAATGTCTAGTACATTCCAGGTGCTTAGTAAATAGGAGTGAATGCCTGAAACATTTTCAAGTGGCGTGCCACATGGAATAAAACAAGTGTTCTTTTGTTTCTTCTTTAACGTGATGGTAATCCCCTCTCTCTGAGATGATGTCCACACAGTTCTACATGGGAGCTCTAATATAAAACCTAGCCAGGTAAACTCTGAGTTTATTATTCAGTGGTGTATGATTCTGATAGGAATTCAGGAGACCATATCATTAATAACATTTTTTCATTTCATTCACTTCAAAAGCAACTTTGTTTACTCTCTCATTCAACACTCAAAAAAAAAAAAAAAGAGTGGGGACCCAGGAAGAATAATGTTATTATCTTCTGGTAGTGATACTGCAGTGCTCCACACACATTTATCCAAGACTGAAAGTGCTTCCAGAAGACCAAATAAGAGTTAATTACCAAATTGCTTGAGTGCTAAACTTCAACTCTTTAAAAACCAAAATATCATTCATCATCCTTCTGAGTCCACTCGGACCCAAAGCAATGTACTGAGTGGTACACGCTCTCTTCATGGTTCAGCTGGAAAAAGATACGTCTCCAACCAGAATAAGGAATGAATCATATAATGAAATGGTGCATTTTTTTCTTAAAAGCCATACTCATTTTCAAAGCAGAGCTTCCTATGTGTTGTCATTGCCTATAAGGTGACACCGTATAAAAAATCCTAATGATTCTTAATGTCTTCCCACTGTAACTTAACAGAGAATGCTTAACACACTGCCATCTTCTACTCATTCGACAGCCAAAACCACACAATGTATTTATAATTCATTGATTGCCTTAAGCAATATAATTTTCCTTTGACAAAAATCAGGTGCTTTTAACAAACCCTCACCAAAGTTAATGCCATTTTCTTTTATCAAAGACCTAGTAACTAAAGCTCAAAATTAAAAACATATTTCCAACAAACAGAAAAGTAACAAAATGGCCCCTGCTTTTAGGAATTATTTCCTCCTGTCTTAGCTGATTAAATAGTCAATTAATTCTTCAGACACATGCTTCTTTCACACAGACTAAAATATTTTTAGCTTCAATATCAATGTCATTCCAAAGCTAACCATATCATAGTTTGCAAGAAAAAAAAAGTATTCAACTTTTCATAAGTTCAAAATGTTTGAGGGGTTAAAGAACAATCCTACATGTAGCAGAATTTCCAGAAGGAAGTACACAGTTTACAAAAGATCTTTATAGTAGAAACAGGACTTCTTTTACTATTCAAAGTTGGGAGGATAAAACTAGATTTCAATATTATGCCAAATATTATAAAATACAACAACTCTATAAAAAGATGTCATGCAAAAATCCCAAAATAGCTGCTTTGGAGACACATAAAAATTCCATTAAACAACAACAAATTCTATTTTCTACTTATGGCCACCAATCCCTGTTAGAGTGAGTCTCCACAACAAAGAGCTCATTGTTTTTGTATTTATAGCTTAACACTTCCAGGGTGCAAAAGGGATAATTAACACAAGGGTGGAGCAAAAACCGGGCAAGGTGTGTGAGTGAACAAGAGGAATAAAGGACGATTTAAATAATGAATTGACAACAGTTGGTGATAAGCAGTACTCTGTCAACAGAAATAAACAAGACAGGTACCCACCCACACGCACTACAGATGATAAAGCAGCTCCCGCACACTGAAATGAAACCCTGCGTCAAATTGGTTTAAACACACAGCAGCTCTTGCATTTAACGGACACACACTTACATTTTCTGTGGTTCCAGTAATCACGTGCAATCCATCATAGGTTGATTTGATGTACATGCCCTAGAGTGAGTCACAAAGATATTAACTCATTAATCCAACATTTAGAAGCATAGCCGCAAGTGAGACTTAAGCTTATAAAACATTAAAGACAGTCCCTTCAGAACAGTACTCATTTTTAAACCTCCTGAAATATCATGAAGCAAGATTCAAAGGGCAGTTAAGGGGAATTAAACAAATTGAAGTGCTAGTGAAAAAAAAAAGTCAGACATAGTATCCTTTTGATATTTTTATTTGTGTATCAAGCACATGAAGCTTTGCCACAACTCCAAGGATGTAGGCGTTTTCTCAGACCTGCTGAATAAGTAATGTATTTCAAACAAAAACTATTCTTTCCTGATCATCTCTTTGTCTAGGGACATTATATTCGGTTACCTTTGGTATCAGTAATAATGTAGGGTAACTTTTTAAGACCACTAATGATCCAGACCAGGATGTGCGAGTGAGAGTGTTAAACAACACCGCATACCCAGGTAAAAGGTACCCTTCCACTTAAGGGACCTATAGCAATAACTATGCTCCCTCCTGAGGTGAAATGCCATATCATTGAGGAAGTATTTCTGCAGTTCGATACACAAGGTATAATATTCTTTTAATATATTTTAATTTATTTTATACGTTCAATCACTATACATCGCTTAGCTTGAAAAGTGAATTTTCACATGAATATACTTTACACCATTAGATATTTTTATTAACTGTTATAAAATGGAAGAAGACAGCAAAAAGTAGACAGGGCAAAAAGCAGTCCTCACCCTGGTATCTATGTTGTTATAATATAGTCTCTCCTCGGAAATCATTTTGACCCTGGACTTGCCTCACCCAGTAATTTTTACCACTGAGGAATGAGAACCTCATAAATACCAACACCAACACCCTCAAGGTTCTCCCCATTCCACTCATCTCCTGTAGCTTTCATTTGCAGAGTATAAAGGCATCTTCCCTACCAACAGTCCTCCTCTTCCCAGGGTATTGCTTGTACAGTGTGACCATCTGACACGACAACTCCATTTCTGCCCACTCAAGGCATGTATCTGCTTCAACCCTTAATATAAACTCACCTCCCTTTTCAATTTTCTGCTATGATCCACCACTGACCCTGAAGCCAAGCAATATCAGTACGCGTATTTCACATACTCACTAAGAATGCAGGCTTGCCCACATTTGGGTGATTTCCATTTTCCTACCTATGCAGTGATGTCTCCACAGCCACCTACACACTAAGCACTTTCTCTCTCTTCCTCCTCCTCCTCATTATCAATACCAGCAACAGTAGCCCACAGCCACCAATTAATGCCCGTGTACCGTGCTCTCGGCATCTGGTGCCAAGCATCCATCATCTGAGTTAATACTTTCAACAGTCCTATGAGGAAACTAACACGTGAAGAGGTTAAGTCACTTGAAAGCCGCAGAATCTCTATGCTAATCAATGGGCCTCACAGTTTCTTCACTTAAACATGAGCAAATGAGTCCTGCAGGAGGCAAGCTAGGTACTGGGAGATGGCGTGGGTGTATCAGCGAGCCCTGTCATTATGCAGCTCAAACATTCCTTATGGAACATTTCTGAACGTGTTTTAAAAAGCCTTTCCTTCAACCAGCCTTTCCTCACATTCATCCTAAGTGCTAATGAAGACTCTCAGAGCAGATGTTGTTTTTGTACCCCAAGACCATTTTTCCTTTGTGTAAATGTTTTATATCTCCTTGCACTGCTAAGGCCTAAAAATAAAACTGTTGAGACAATCCTTCAAGATATGAGTACACAGCTCAGAAGGTATGTTTCTTTTTATACTTGGAAGGTATAAAACATATCAATAGCCTTCAAGACGGCAAATTCTTAACCACACAATGGAAGGCAGTCTAAGTTGATTCTTCTATTCAGAATTACTGTGAAAGCAAAGGAATTTTTTTAATTAGTAAATGACCTGTGTGCTATTGGAAAAATAAAACAAGTGTTCTTAGAATTCTTACCAGACCTTCCCCAGGTTTAACATTGGGTAAGTGAACTTCCTCCAGGCACGCGCACTGGCTCATAACAGGATCCGAGGTCGATCGGATTGTTTTGTCACAGATGCCATTCAAAACCTTGACCTAGAATTGGAGAGGCAAAGACTCAGGAAAGTTTGTTCATTAACAAAGTTTGCCTCAGGCTGATTTTTAAAGAAATACATTTCACCTATAATCTTTAGCTCTGGTTGGCAATCATTCCGGTAATTCTGCTCAATGAACACGTGGCCTTTGGACTCTGTATTTGCAATCTGTGGGAATGGTGCCACTCTTTCAGCTTTGTTCAGAAAAGGCAGATTTTATATTAACTCCTTTTGGATCACTGCAGAGTGCAAGCCAGGCAGAAATCACCCTTCCTCCCTTAGGGAGAATCTTCTATTCCTAGTCACGCTCATGTCTGTTTATTGATGGCTTACATTTAATGACAAGTTAATTTTATTTTGGTTTGAATCATTTTTTTAAACAGATTTTACTTTTTAAAACAGGTTTAAGTTTACAAAAAAAATAGGGGGGGCATACTCTGAGTTCCCATACACTGCTCGCTCCCCAGCCTCTACCCTCAGGTTCCCCTCTTATTAGCATCCTGTCCTAGTATGAGACGTGTGTTAAAATTGGTGAACCATTGTCAAGACATTATTGCTGACTAAGGTCCATATTTATTTAAGGGCTCCCTCTTTGTGGCTTATGTTCTACAGGTTTCGGCAAATGCCACATGACATGTATCCATGCTTACAGTGTCAGACAGAACTGTGCTGCCCAAAAAACTCACCCCCATCACGCATCCTGCCCTCCCTCATGTGAACCTCTGGAAACCACTGGTCTTTGTAGTATGTCTATAATTTTGCTTTTTCCAGAATGTCAAATAGTTGTAATTATACAGCATGTAGCCCTTTTCAGACTGGCTTACTTCAATTAACAATATGGATTTAAATTTCCTCCATATATTTTTATAACTTGATACCTCATTTCTTTTTTTAATGTTTGCTATAGGCCACACACTGGAGAGAGCCAAGAGAACGGGGGAGGGGGGGAGAAATTACCCCCCACCAGGTGGATGACCAAGTCACAGTCCCTTCTCTTCCATTCTCCTCTCAGGGTTTTAGGCATACACACACATGTCCAGTATGCTTTTTAAGCTGCCAGGTCCAAGACTCGAACCACACAGTTGGCCATGTGGGATCCAGCCACCTTAACCACCATCCATGTGGCTGGTCCTGATAGCTCATTTCTTTTATCCCTGAATAATATTGTTTTAAGGATGTACCACAAGTGTTTACCCTTTCATCTATTGAGGGATATCTTTCTTGCTTCCAACTTTTGACAATTATGAATAAATCTGCTACAAATATTCTGTGCAGATTTTTATGGACATGAGTCTTCAAACCCTTTGTAAATTACTAGGAGTACAGGTTGTATGGTTGGACTATATGGTAAGAATATGTTCAGTTTCGTAAGAAACTACCAAATTGTCCTCCAAACTGGTTATACCATTTGGCATTCCCACCAGCAATGAATGAGTTTCTGTTGCCCTACAATCTTATCAACACTTGGTGTTGTCAATTTGGGGATTTTAGCTACTCCAATAGATGTGTAGTGGTGTTTCACTGTTGTTTTAATTTGCAATGCCCAAATTATAAATGACATTGAACATCTTTTCATATGCTTTTCTGCCACTTGTATGTCTTTTTTGATGAGATATCTGTTCAGATCTTTTGTTTGCCTTTTCTTTTTTCTTTTCAGGTTTTTGAAATGGGTCACATTCACTCACCAGAGAGAGACAGGGAGCAGGAAAGTGAGAAAACACCACTCAGGGAGTATAGCCACACTGCAATCTCTTCTCCTCCACTCTCCTCCTGAGATTTTGGGCATGTGCACACACGCACACAGAGTGATTTTTCAGGCTCCTGGGGCCAGAACTCAAACTACAGTTGGTCATATGGGAATTCAGAGCCTTAACCTCTACACCACCTGCTAGCCCTCACTTTTTAATTGAGTTCTCTTTTTTTTTATTATTGCATTTTAAAAGTTCTTTTTGTATTTTGGATACAAGTCCTTTATCTCACATGTGCTTGGGAAATATAGTCTCCCATTTTGTAGCTTATCTTTTTATTCTAACAGCATATTTCAAAAGCAGCACTTTAAATGTTAATGATGTCTACATTATCAATTTTCTTTCATGGAATGTACTTTGGTATTATACCTAAAAACACTCATTGCCAAACCCATGGTCACCTAGATTTTTCTCCTGTCATCTTCTAGATGTTTTATAGTTTTGTATTTTACATTTAGGTCTATGACCCTTTCAGCAATTACCCATATGCTCTGAACGCAAACACCAACAAGGTAAAACTCCAAAGAGAAACAGGAGGATCCCTATTAAGTGGTCTCTGTGCAGAAGTCGCAGTGGTTACGTGTGGTATTTTTCCCAATCAGATTCATCTAACCTTTCAAAATTAAATAACCAGAGAAATCAGGAAATTCCAGAGTGATTTTTCTTTCCAAAGGGGAGAATCCAAGAAATGACACTTTTTACATTCCTCCAATTTGTTTAGCCTCCCTATTTATGGAAAATATATTTATAGCAGTTTCTTTGCTAAATTCCTCAACATCAGTAGGAGGAAGGCCTTATCAAAAGAGCACAGGCTGGCTAATGTCAAAAGGAGGAAGTGATGATGAATAGTCACAAAATGCTCTTGAAACAGTTGCTGTACATACCCCCCTCTATCACAACATTTCTGCCAAGAGGTTTTTTTGTTTTTTTTTTAATCAAGATGATCCCAAGTGAAATCTGCACGTCAGTTTAACCCTAATTAGCAGGCAAGCTAGCAATTTATGCATAACTGTACCCTCATACAATGTACAGAAAAAAAATTAAATAAACAAAACAGAGACCCCAATAAAGCTAATTTAAGCACAGGAATTTTCTCAGTAGTTGGCCTTGCTAAATAGCTTTTGTTCATCTAAATTAATAGACTCGATTCCAAAAGCCAATATTTTAGAGTATATTCTGAAATAATCAGCCACAGTGCCTTTATTTTAATTAATGTGACTCCCACTGCTTTCACAAAAGGAATGTGTCAATAGTTTTCAGAACATGTACTTACTACAGTTAACACTTTATCCTCCATTTCTGCTACAAGGCAATCCTAAAAAAGGAAAAGAAAATAAAAATTAAGTATAAAAGCTAAAAACTTTCCAAAACCGTTGTCTTAACTTCTAGATGTTTCCTAGAGCCCAAGACAATCCCTGACACACACCTCCCCTACTCAATCCCTCCACCTTTCCAGTCCTCTAAGACCTGGACCTACGGAAAGGAAAGAGAGTGGCAATGGAGATGACATTCGTCTTTTTTAAGGCCATTAGGTTGGATAATGACCCAAGGAGCTTATTATCCAAGGAGCCTATTTGACTGCTTAATTTGAAAACCTACCAATATCATTGAACTGAAATCTACCTTCTGTCCAGAAAGTAGTTAATCAGAAGTCCAAGTCCAAAAGTCCTAACAGCTCCCAGCGTGACCCCACGCTCAGCTAGCAGTGGGCCAGCATGCCAGTCATCTTCAGCGTTGGCCTGCCTATAAGAATAGCTTTCAAATAAGGGCTTGAGTAAACTCAGCCACAAAAGTTTATTTTAAGTACCACTGAGATTAAATCAGATATTTCAGTCCTTGATAGATGAAAAAGGTTCAACAAAACATTCATTAACACACTGCCAAAAAGTGGTCTTGAGGTATGCTATTGATGACATTAAATAAAGGGCTGGAATGCAAAGCATTATTTACTCAGCTTCAGAACAAAAGGCTGAGAACACTGTATGAACCCAGTTGACTGATTATAGGAATCACCATTGCCCTGTGGAAAAGTCACCAAAGTAAAACTGCCAACGTGAAACTTTCACATTAACCTTCTAGAACTTCTACAGCCCAGGATTTCAACCTTCGCCACAGGGTACTTGGCCAAAGGAAAGACAGAGAAACTGGATTCTTTAGTCTATCCAACACCATCAAGTATAAGACCAAACTAGGGCAGTCTTAAGGATAATGCTAATTATTTATGTACATGAAGAGTATCAATCAATATTGTTGAAATAATCAACAAATATTTTCACTTAAATCAAAATGTCTTTTTTTTTTTTTAGAGAGATTTTTTGCTATAGGGTACGTGCACTTGCTGGAGAGACAGAGAGACATAAAGCAAGAAATCACTCCCTGCGAGGAAGGCCAGGCCACAATCCCTTTTCCCTCATTCTTCTCTCAGGATTTTGGGCATGCACAGACACGTGCCAGGCATGAGTTAAGCCTCCAGGTCCAGGACTCATACTGCAGTCGACTATGTGGGAGTCCAGCAATGTAACCATTACGCCATCTGCTGGTCCTCAAAATGTCATTTTTGCCACTACCAGTGGGGGAGGGGATCGCTACCCATTTCTAGCCTATGTGATTTAATAATCACACTTCCATTGTCTCCTTAAGCATCTTTTTATTTTCTCTACTAGATAAAAATGTGGGAAACAAAATTACTACCCTATGGCTTCCAAAATTTAATTTGATGGAGGGGTGGGGGGGCAGGGGGTGGGGAAGCAGTCTAAAAAGAAAACACCTTTTAAAAAAATATTAAACTGTATTTTCACACATGTGAATGTGATTAAAAACTCAAACTACAGGAGCAACTTTTTAAAACAGGAAAAATTACAGCTCAAAAATGTGCTTTTCCACCTGTCTCTTATGGATGTAACTAAATCATCAACTACCACTGGGCTCATGCCTATTAATACTGTCTGACAGCGTTATTAAGTAAATACATTTGGAAAAACAGTACGCTCTGCTGGTGTGTGCCAGAACTGTAACTAACAGTCTAGGTCTAAGATCCCTCATCCAAGTCTCAAGACGACGTAAGCGCAGTCATCCTTTAGAGCAACACGCCAATGCCGAGGGCTCCTCTCAACACAGCAGAGCCCAAGACTCAAAAAAGAACCTGGGCTAGGAACCATCTGACTTCATGGATCCCCAAACTTGATTCTTTGAGGATCCAAAAAACAAGGGTTCTTCTTGTGGTGACTGGGCCAATGGGCACGAGGTGGTCTCCCGCCTCCCAAACAGTGGAAGTAGGCATGTGAAAGGGCTCAGGTTCTGCCCTCCGCCACATGAATGCGGGTCCCCACACCCATTCCTCCTGAGAGGAAGCAGCTGCAGGCGTGACTTCACATTTCTGGCATGAAGGCAATGGAAAGGAAAACGAGGTGCTGGAGTCAATCACCCCCATGACTCAGACAGTGAGGCCGAGCTCTGGACAGTCCTGCTGGCCCAGCAGGCCCAGCACAGACTGGCTGGCGGAGACCAACCCAGGTAGCCATCAGCACAGCCTCTCCTTACTCTACCTTCTTACAAGCCAAGGAGCCATGGACAATGTGTCTAACCTTTCATTGTTCTGTTTCCACTTATAGGCCTACCTCAGACTGTTGGGAATTCGATGTGGTAACATATGCCAAGTGCACAGTGCACCCAGAGACATAATTTGCGCCCAGTCACTGACCTCACCGCCTTCTCTGCTTCTGTGGCTCTCTTTCTCTCCTTTCAGTTCTCTTAGGCCTTTACTGCTCATTTTCCCATTTCTTCCCAGACTGGAATCCAGCACCTACCACTGTCATTTCATCTCTCTTATCATCACTGTTTCAGTTTTCATGCCAACACAGTAAGAAGTAAATCGACTAGAAACATACGTCACAATTCCTTCCCACTCTGGCTTCCTTCATCTGAAAGGATAACCTCAAATTTCGAATGTTCTCAATAAAAAAGTAATGATAAATGCTAATTACCCTGAGTGCATCATTACGGGTTGTATTCATGTATTAAAAAAAAATCACACTGTGCTCCATAAATATATACAATTAGTTAGGTGTCAACAAAAAAGTTTTTAAAAATACAATCACCTCAAAATTGTACAGGATGGCACAAGTGGAAAGGCTTGATCTGAACATGCCAGGTGTGTCCACAGGCATGCCCACAATTCTGGCAGGCTGGACAGTAGGAGGAGGGTCATAGATGGCAAGACCCTGTTGGGAATCGCCATCTCCCCTCTTTCTCTCTCATGAAATAGTAGACAAGTAAACTTGCCCCCCAGAAAGTAAGGTTTTAAAAAATAAATAAATGGTCGGGAAGATCTACCCTTGTACTAAGTAGTGGCCTATAGTCAAAGCCGTGAGTGTGTGCGTGTGTGTGTGTCTGTGCATGTTGGTTTCATAATATTTTCAGTCTTGCTATATCACCTCTACTTGCCTCAGCCTCTGAACAGCTTGGACTACAGGCACATGTCACCCTGCCAAGCCCTTTTTGTTCCCTTTTAGGGTGAACTAGGAATACAGCTGAAATATTCTTAAAAGATGTATGTGGTTTCCTCATAGGGGAAAATAAAAAGTAGTATCTTTCTGTGACTCTTAAGACTTGGAAATTATTATTGGAAGTAAGCTGCAGAGAAAGTGACAAGAAAGAGGAGAAGAAAATGGCAATATATTTTAAAAAGCAAAGGAGAGAAAGAGACAGGCAAATGTCTTCTTCACAACTGGGGACACAAAAGGCACAGGAGCAAGGTGAACACGCTCTTTGTCACTTGGAACAAAGGGGTACAATTTTTGTTCCTTCAATTCCCCAGTTGAAACGACTGAATGGAAAAGACAGGCTTCTGCTAGAGTCAGCCGATCTTCCATTGAGAAGTAAGAGAGAGTACAGGTCCCAGCACACTCGGTCTTGTGCCATCACGCTGTACACTGCAAATGACACCCAACTCATCCGTCAAGGCTGGTATGTCTAATTTGCATGTCTGTGTGAGCACATGCACACGAATATCTCCACTTGCTGGAGTACCTGGGTCCTCCAGTTACTACAGAAAATACACATTCATCAAGAGTCAAACAATTTTTTAATCTAAGTTCAGAAATGATATTCCTATTGTCATTTATATGAGTCTCAATCCTTACAGATTGTTAGATTTATAATAAACTCAAAAACATACAAAAATAAGAGCACCAGATACATTTACTTCCCCTCCTTAAACTATCAAATTTGGTCCCAGAAAACTAGTACAAGGCAAGACGTTTCTATTTCCTACAACAGGCTACTATTTCTTGAGTGGGCACTATGCTTTTTACATATTCTCTCTCTTACTATTCATAATCATCTTTTGAGGTAGACATAAGTTTTTTTTAATTTATATTACTGGGTTGTTGGAAGAGTCATGATCCAGTTTTGCATAGAAAAAGTAAGTCGTGACTTTTTCAACAACCCAAGATTTCTCTATCTAATTTACATGGATACATGAATGAGGTCATACACAATGAATTTTTTGTGGTAAGTTACAGACTGATTGACATAAAACTTCTTAACAGTACCCAGGCTCTGTCTAATGAACCCTGATTGAAACCAACATGTATCATTTCCAACCCGGAACATCCGTCAATGTGGGAAGTGCTAAGGTTCTGTGTTTTTCTGCCTTAGCAAGAAATAATGTGGGACACTGGCTATTCTGTCAGATGACATCCGATCTGAAGAGAATGGAGCAGATCACCAGCTGACCCACTTGGGTATAAACAATCATAGAATAAATTGCTTGATTGCTCTCAGCAAGAAATAACTGCCAAGGTTTGGGAGTTGCTGTTACTGCTTCATAATCTAGTATATTCTGATTGGTAAATCCAACAACCAGATGTCAGAATGAAAAGAAAATTAAGAAGCAGATGTAATTTAATACTCAGAACTAATATTACTCTGAAATTTAATTACTCCAGAATTTCTATTAAGGAACCAGCAGGTGGCGTGGCGGTTAAGGGCACTGGACTTCCACATGGCTGACCGCAGATCAGTCCCAGACCTGGCAGTCTGCTTTCTCACGTTCTCTCTCTCTCTCTCTCTCTCTCTCTCTCTCTCGCTCACTCGCTCTGTCCCTCTCTGGTCAAACATAAATAAATAAAGATAAATAATTTAATAAAGATTTTTTTTTAAAAAGAATTTCTATTTAAAAAAAAGAGAAAAGTACTCTAACATTGTAGAGGAAGTACAGGACTAGTAGCACAATTATTTTTAAACAAACAAACAAACAAAGGTGATCTTTTATTTAAAGGCCACCAGTCATCATCTGTTTCCAAATCTGATCAGAAAAAAAAAATTAAAAAGAAGAAGAGTGTGAGAATGGTACTTCATACCCACAAGGAAAACACTGTTTAAGTTCTACATCAGAGAGAGTAGCGAGTCAGAGACAGAAACAGAAAGATGGCCACCCCCATCAGGGTTTTCACTCTGTGCCATCCCACTCCCAGCTGACCCAGATTATGGGCACACACGCACACAGCGGGAGACCCTGGGACAGGAATGCAGGACTTCCCCACATGGATCCAACTGCATTGTCACTGCACCACCACTTGGCTCTTGGAAATTCTTTCAAAAGCAGGAAAAGGGTAAAGGGAGAAAACAAAATTTTAGAAAGCAACGATTGTATTCTACTGACCTTCTGGACTGTAGTGGTCAGGTCCAAGCAAAGCTGAATGATTTTATTCTTTATCACTGAGAAATCAGTGATGCCAGTAAATGGAGCTCTGGAAAGTAAAAACTTCTCTTAGAGAAAAAGGTCCAGGAATCTACTGGGATCTCACACTTCTGTGGACAAGCACAGCTACACCATAGGCTAGCTGATCTTATTACTTATAGAACTGTTTCCTCTCAGGTAACACACAAAATGGGAAGCTGAACAGAAAAGAGACACAAGTGCTGGATAAAAACACATTTAAAAATGAGCTGAGAACATTCTGAACTATCTTTGGTCCAGAATGCTGTCCATTTCTAGAAACTATTTCTTGATTAAATAAACTTTAAAAATAAATAAATAAATAAATAAGGAAGACTTGGTTTCACTGTGCCCTGACCCTCCTGCCTCAGCCTTCCAGGTCACTGGGACTGTAGATGCACACCACTGCAACGTCTATAGGTGGGAGTGGGAATCAAACCTAAACTTCCATATGGCACCAGCCTGCAAGAGCACAGCGTCTTAGTGCGGTGGACCACAGTGGCTGGGCTCCAGACTTTATCAGATTTTAAAAAAGAAAAAAGAAAAAGGAAACTTAAGACTCCATGTCCCTTCAGAAGTCACCCGCATACCAATCAAATAATCAATAATGTGCCATCTCTGTAAAACACAACCTTTATCATAAGTTCCCTCCTTTCTAAACTGAAGGTAATCTGTTCTTGCTACTGACTTTTCAAGCAACTTCAAAAGGAACCCTAAAATCTACCACTGATCCAGGCTCCCAGACTTCTAATAAAAATGACACAGACGGGACAATGGTGCATTTCCCCAAGACGGAGTCCAAGCTGCTATGCATCTCAGGCCCTACTCATGTATCACATAAAAGGCACGGTCACAACTTACCGGTCCAGCCAAGCCAGCAAGGCCTTGGCAGCACCAATGAGCTCCACCACAGAAGTCAGGAACTCATTGTGAGGCTTGCGGGAGGTGCTCCCATCATACGCTGGACTTTTCCGCCGGCTACCGATGTAGTTCTGTAAATTGTGGGAAGACGCTCGCAATTTCAGAACCAAGTTCTTCATGTTATCCGTTTCAAGACCATAATTCTGTGGAACATAACATCGAAGGGAAAAATTTTAAATAATCAATGATATCTAAACTTTCCTAATAACCAAATGTGCAATAAGTAACTTGAATGACTTATTCAAGCAACTTTAAAAACCCTGCCTGATCTACCCACAGCCCCCTTACCCACTCTCCTGGGTTGGCCTTCCCTCTGCTCCTATCTCAGTCTGCTTCTATCTCAGAAATTTTGTTCTTCCAAGTCCCTCTTCCTGAAATGCTATTCCCACAGATCTTGGCAGGAGCAGCTCATCCTTGTCTCTCAGGTCCTGGCCCAAATGTCCTTTCCTTTTTGAGGCTTCCCTGACCCCCCAAATCTAGAGGAGACTTTCTTTAGCTTGGCCCTACCAACATTTGGGGTTGGGATTCTTCATTGTGGAGGTGGGGTTCCTGTGTATTGCAGGATGTTTAGCAGCACCCCTGGCCTCTACCCATAGATGTCAGTAGCACTCCAGCCCCAGTGTGGCAACCAAAAATCTGCCCAGCATGAGCATGTGTCCCCTGGGTGCAGAATCAGGTTCTCAAGCCACCATGGCACCTCATCCACTTCTGGTCCTCTCCGAACCACTGTGTCTCTGGGATCTCCTCCACTGAGGCAAGGTCTACGAGGGTCCACTCATCACTGTATTTACAGCACAGAGGACAACAACATTGTCACTGAATGAATGAATTTTCATCAGCTGAGACGCATAAACAGAACAGCACTAACTGTTAATTCTCCTGAAATGTAATTCCCCTCTCTTGAGATTCTAACCTATGTTCTTTAGTAACACTGTTCAACTTCCTTAGGTGCTCAAGAGATTCAATCTCATATGGCAACACAGCCCTAGACTCCCTTTCAGATAAAGTGCCAACCCCAAGAAACAACACGTGAATCGGAGATAACTTTGAAGGCAAGGCACAGATTTCTCTATTCAATTGCATGTACATATCTCAAATATTGGGTCATCGGAAAAGTCATGGTACATTTTTGCATAGAAAAATGGAAAAATACATTATAAACTTTCTGACCCAATAGGTAATAGTTTTATCATCCTAACAAAAAGTAAAGTGGTTTCTGGAGACATATTACATTCTCAATAGCATCCCAAAGCAAAAATCTGACACCATTTTTAAAGGGAAAATGATATTATGGCTAACATTATTGAACACTCTCCTTATGCCAGGAACCAGAGTAAGTATTTGATAGGTATGAAACAGGCCTTGAGGGCCAGAATGTTATTATCTCTATTTTACGGATGAGGTAACTGAGTCACAGAAACAGTGAACAGTCTCCAGTGTTATGCTACTAATCAGCGTATGTTGAAAATTCTACCAAGGCAATCAACATCCAGTCACAAGCTTTCTTAAGTCTCTTTCTTTTACCAAAAAGACAGAGAAAACTAGCACCTCCAAGAGAGTCTCATGCCTCAGTCCCACGCCCCAGCTTTCTCAGTCAGCCAAGCTCATGGCACACACGTGTGCCTGGCATGCACAAGTCAACCAGGAGATTGAACTCAACCTTTCATATGACTTCCACCATTGTAGAGTGCATGGCAAGGCCCAGGCACAAGCTTTGGATCACTGTGCTGCACAACCCCTTTCCACCCACCCTGCCTGAGAATGAGCCAAGCGATAAAGCAGAAAATAGGATGGACATTGCAAAAGAATAAGAAAAAACAGCCATGATTCTGGCTCAAGCAAAAACTAACAAATTGCTTTAACTCCCCGAAATTCTTTCTTGATCTGTCCCATCTCCTCTGAATGCTAAAAGCTTTTTTGAACTGGCTTTAGCCAGCCAGGATGTGTGGGCCAAAAAAAATGTAAGACATGCTTCAGAATCAACATATAGTTGCTGAAACATAAAATACACACTGTGAGGGTAGCAGATGGTGTGTGGCTATTACATCACTGGACTCCCACATGGCCAACCACAGTTGGAGTCCCAGACCCAGTGGCTTAAAAATCATGCTAGGCAGGTATGTGTGCATGCCCAAGATCCAGGGAGGAGCACGAAAGAGAAGGGATTGTGGTGCTGCCAAAAAATTTTAATTGTTTTCATTAAAATCATGGCCTTTTGTTGTTGTCTTAACTCACCATGTTTATCTTGCACACACACAAAAATAAAGGGGGGGTTTTGCGATCCTCTGATTGGATTTAAAAAAGGATTTTAGAGGCTTTTTGCCTTAGGGCGTGTGTGCTTGCTAGAGAGAGAGAGAGGTGGAGACAGGGAAAGTGAGAAATCACTCCTCTTGCCCCCAGGGGAGATGGCCATGCCTCACTCCCTTCTCCACCAGTATCTTCTTGAGATTTTGGGCATGCACACATACTTGCCTGGCATGATTTTCAAGCACCCAGGTCCGGTACTCAAATTTAACAGCTGACCATGTGGGACTCAGCACTTTAACCTCCATGCCACCTGCTGGCCCTTAAATACAACTTTTAATTGATATAGAATAATTGTGCATATTTGTGGGGTACAGTGTGATATATTTTAATATATGTATATGATGTCTAATGATCAAACCAAGGCAAAAAATAATCAACATCTCAAAATGTTTTCCTTACACTTTGTGTTGTGAAAATTCAAAACCCTTGTTTCTAGCCTTTTTTGAAATATACATTTAATTGTTATTAACTGTAGTTACCTCAAACTCATTCCCTCTAGACTCTGGAAGCCAGCTTTCTCTTATTTCTCCTCCTCCCCTCCCATCCTCTGGTGTCCCTCATCCCACTTTCCCACTTCTATGTGAACAAAGCTTTCAGCTTCCACAAATGAACGAGATCACGCACTCATTGTCTTTCAGTGCCTGGCTTATTTCACTTCGTATAATTTCCACCAAAAACTCATCTATGTCTCTTCAAATGACAGGATTTCACCCTTTCTTATGACTGAAGAGTATTCATCATGGCTTTTTAAATACAAAGAATCAAAGACTCACCACTGAGTAGATAAAGAGCCCATGTGGCTGCCCGTTTTGAAGGACTTGGAGTTATGATTAAAGGGAAATGCCCCTTCATTCAGTCAATTACTCGACCTGCCAACTTACATCAAGAGTTTTGGACAAAGAGCAGGAAAGTCAGCTTTCTATAGTCACTGTCACCATAGATTATTTGGAACTTTTATTACTCTACACACATTTACTTCTTGAACTCAAAGAGGATTAAATACACTTTATTGTTACAAGAAATGCTCAACTTCAATCATTTGCAAACCCACCATCATTTAATATTAAAAGAAAAGGGGAAGGTACCTTCTTATAACTGATTCTCTTTATTTACTGCTTTACCTGATTTGATTCCTTTTTTTTTTTTCCAAAATAAATCATGGAGCAGGAAAAAGGGACAGAAGTAGTTAATGAGTATACTTCTTTTAAAATAAAAGGAAAGAGGAAGGAAAGTTCCTTCCCTGTTGATCCCATTCCACAATAAAGAGAGAAAGAGAAATTGAGTATATTTACTCAAAAGAGCCTCTACTGTAGAAACATAATCCGGAAAGGATTATCGATTAAGTACCCCAAATGGTAGATGAAAATGAATAATTTCCCAAACCAGACTTAATTATTTTCACTTTTCTTCCCCCTGAAAACTGCCTCCCTCCGAAAGTGGTTTAAGATTAAATCATCCAGAAGATACAAGCCAAGGAACAAATGAGTCTCTGAGAATCTCTGTGCACAGAAAAGCCCTTCCGCTGAGATCTTTCATGAAGGGTTAGCCGTAAGTGATCATTTCCTGATCTGGTTAAAGAACCATACACTAGACCAGAAAAAAGACAGAGACAAGATTCTCAGTCGTCTGGTGCCTTATAATTACACACATTTTTGCTAAGAATAAATCTTACATAACTTTCTATTTCTCTTCTCCATTCCTATAAGTTCTGTTCATGAACTAACATACAAAATCATATAAGAGGTATCTTTGCAATCAAATAAGAGGTATCAACATACAAGAGGTGTCAAAGACAAAATCAAAACCATCTTACTGACTTGAGCAAATTAAATTACAACCTAAGAAATATACTTCGTAGTTCTCCTAAAAGCATTTTAAAAGCTCATAGCAAGAACAAGTTAAATAAAAATCACTAGCAAAGATTCCTCTTTCTTACAATTTATCCCTGTCAAAAAATTTAAGAAAATATAACTTTTTTTAGAGGTTTTTACCTGAGGGCATGTGTATTCATGAGAGAGAGAGAGAGACAATGAGAAAGAAAGTGAGAAATCACCCCCGAGGATGGGGTATGGCCACATCACAATCCTTTCTCCTCCATTCTCCTCCTGGGATCTTGGGCAAGTGCATACACACATGCCTGGCTTGAGTTTCAAGTCACCAAGGTCCAGGACTTGAGCCTCAGTCAGCCATATGAGAGCCCAAGGACATAACTGGTACACTATCTGCTGGCCCCAGAAAGACAACATTTTTAATGATGTGCCAAGGAAACACAATGAACAAGTGATCGCAGGGGAATACCAGAGTGCATAAGCACACTGGGCAAGCAGATTCCCTAAAGGTATTTCATTTAACCACAGGTTTAGGTAGCATCAATTAATACATGTATGGATTCCAGCTTTGTTTATTTCTCAGCCTGCTTCAACCTTAAAAACACAGCTGTCCTTGCCTTGGTCTTCAGGAAACTAGAGCCTTATAAATTTGGCAAAGAACAAAGGTTACATTTATACTTTGTTACCCTCAACCACATCCTTTCAACCAGAGCTGTCCAACAGAACTTTCTACAGTATAGTATTGTGGATTATTACTGCTACCAGCTACATGCAGCTTCTGAACCCTTGAAATGTAGCTAGTGCAACCAAGGAAGGAACCAAATTTTCTTTTAACTTTTATTTAGTTACATACGGCTAATAGCAATGCTACCAGGAAGCACATCTCTAGAATCTGTCCCAGACACCTCTGCCCCAGATAAAGAAAGAAAAGTTGAGTGCAGATTCTGTCAGTCTAGGAAGTGGTCCTGGTTCCGGCTCATAGCACAAGTCATCTTCCAAAGCTGCTCCTGCCTGCAAGTTCAATGCCCATGAAGGGCACCTTCTCTCCTTGCTTAGACAATGACCAGCTATTTGCAAATCCTTGCTCCTCAGTTTCGGAGTCTTAATCAATAGCCGTTCCCTACTTCTGATCCCTATCCATTCTCTGTGCCCTTCATTCTGCTCCCAAACTTTCCAGTGGTTTTGTTTTCTCCTCCCCCCTTTCTCACTTCTACTCATTTCCTGTCCATCATAAAATCAACATCCACTAAACTAGATTTACATAAAAACCTCTTTTATAACACCAGGGCCAACTGCAATTACACATTAACTGTCCGGAGAACAGACTGTTCAAAGCAAAAAGTTATCACCAATGCACACATCCAAAGATCTACGTGGTGTAAATACACTAAACAAGTAGTATTTATTAGTACATGCTTTGCAAAAAGGAATATGTTGAAGAGGAGATTATATCAAGACTAAAGGTATTTTAGTAAAACTCTACAAAACCTTCCTGAGCCCTGAAAAGGCACATTCACTTGCCAGAGCCTCACGCGACCCCACCCCCACACCACCCCCAAGGGCCCATCCACTGCATTCCGGGTGCTGCTGCACAAAGCAGGCCAGATGAGTCCAAGGTCAAAGCCTGGTCTACAAAGGAAATTGGAAGGAAATTGTAGGAGATAAAACACAGCTCTAGGTTCTGGCATTTGTCCAGCTTTGTTCATTTTGTCTAATATTTTAAGAGGTAGAGAGGAAAAAGCACAGAGGATGCCCAGAGACAGCCGTTATGTTGATCAGCCCACTTGATTTTGAAGTAATTTACCTGTCTCCCAATTATTACCACAAACTGAGACAACACAGATTTGCAGAAAAGACCAAAAAACTATGCTCCCAGAAAGTACAATAAAAGTAAACGCAAACATGTTTGTACGAAAAACATACAGTTTTACAAATAAACAGGATGGACAACTTCTCGGCAGTGCAAAACACTTGCACAACAGCTACATCTAAGGTGAATGTTACTGTACAAATGGAGAAAACAGACACCGCCGTTTCCCTGGAGGTCACTGAGAGAGTAGCCTGTAGCAGAGCCAGAATTTGAATGCAAAAATCCTGCCTCCCAGACCAATGTTCAGACCACTTGGCTGCAGTGTCTCCCCTGTGGCAGCTCATTTATCAACCACAAATAATTTCCTAAACAAGAGCAGTGCATCTCAGAGCAGAAGACAAGGCTCTGTCCATTTTAAGAAGAAGAATACACACAATGTAGCAAGTGTTATATAATCAACGGAGCATAGCGCAGCCATGGCAAAATCCTGGGGAGCACATTCTTTCCCACCATTCTCAGTGATGTAATTGTATATACCCCTGGCTCAGGTTCAGAGCATGACTAACCCAACGTGAATGCTGAGAGTTGGTCGGAATCCTGACAGTTAAGTACACTACATCCTAGGCATGGCACCATCACAGGCAGCCTAGAATCCTACCCATGCCAACCACTTTGTAAACAAAATGCCCTGACAGGTGGTTTTGGGCCACACCTGGAGGAACTACCCATGCAGCCTCAGGTGAAACATAAGCATCAGGACCTGGCAGGATTTAATTTGCTCATGTTCCAGTGATAGCTCAAATCATCTGCAAAATTTAGTAACATTCATACTTTTTCCCATTCCATTGGTTGATTATTTCAAACACAAACATCAGTTATTTAAATATCACAAATATCTGAAATTCAACTGCTTTCTACAGTAACAAAACCACATGAAAATCAGAACCATACTAGAGATAGTGTGGGAGGAGGGTGAGAAATGGTGGAGGAAGAGAGGGAGGGAATCAAGGGGGGGAAAAAAAGAAGCAAAACATTTAAGAAACACAAAGTGGAAAATTATCTGTTAATGATAATATGTATGGTAATATCTTTGATTGGCCCAATATACAGTGTATTCTGGATGGGAAATTCATTTTGTAGGCTGTAATGATATACGGTGATGGATTGTAAAATAAAAATAATAATAATAAGATGATGATGTCCTCATTCAGGACAATCTCCATCTCTTTATTCTTTTTAAAAGTTAAGAAAGTAAAACTAATATGGCCATTTTCTGAAAAATGCAAATTTTCTGTAATGGACAAGATGATAAATATTTTAGGTTTGGAGGACCACATGGTCTCTGTTACAAGTATTCCACTCTGTCATTGTAGCACAAAAGCAGTCACAGACAACACATGCCCATAAATGAAGGGGCATGGCTATGTTCCAAGGAAACTTTATCCATAAAAATAGGAAGTAAGCTAGGCTCAATTCACATGTCATAGTTCGCTAACCCTTAATCGAAAAAATAATTTATTTTCTTCCCTTCTTATATTATCTTCAACTAGTGCCTCTTCCAATGCATCATTAAGAAAATAATGATTTTTCTAAATCACAAATAGTGGGGGTTTAAGAGGAAAAAGTTCTCAAGAAAGTCATCAGGGTACAGATCACCTTTTCCTAAACTAACCAGTGCACAGAGAAGGTCAACAGCCTCCAACACAAGTTCCTGGTGTCCGATTCGAGTGACCCCCAGCTCCTCCAGGTCCTGGTGGGAGATCTGCAGCAGCTGCTCTCCATTGATCTTCTCCCGCTCGAACTTGTAGACGTACTGCTGCAGGCAGTCATCCAAACCTGCCCAAAAGACACAAAGACCTCTGCTGTCATTTTGTTTCTTCACCCAGAAGATTGCCCACATGTAGACAAATCTCAGCAATCACCAATTACGCTGCCGCTACACGATTATCCATACAAGGCATACTCCCCCTGATGGACACCTTTCAAGTAACAGCTCATCTCAAACAGACTGAAAATCTATAGCTCAAAACTCTCAAATAGATTCAGCACAATTGTATGAGAGTTAACTTCCCATTCCCTGTAAACTCAAAGAATAAACACTGAACCCCTGCTGATTTGAAACAGTAGTTATCTGTACCAGCCATATGTTGTCTGTTTGCTAAGCAACCTACCCTTTGGGACACCATCCCTCTTCCAGTGAACTTGCCAATCGAGATGATTTGCCACAGTGGTTGACCGATAGCCATTCTGGCCAGGGTACTCTATGACAGCCAGTCATGGGTTCAGTGATGACAATGTGAGTCAAGCATAACCAATCAAACTCTTCCTTGATATCTCATATATGCATACAGGCAGATAAGGGCACTTCCTTCCTTTCCAATTGGAAATCATAGAATACAAGTTTGGCAATACTAATGGTCTTCTCTGATCAGCTTTCTGAGATTAATGTCATTTAAAGGGGAGAAAGAAAAAATGCTCTGATTATATCCTATATGCCCTTGGATCTAACCCTGTTTAAAAATACATCTATGCTGGTGGCTAAGGTGCTAGACTCACATGTAGACAGCTACAGTTCAAGTCCTAGACTAAGTAGCTTAAAAATCACACGATGCACATGTGCATGCATGCCAGAAGTCCCAAGAGGAAAACAGAGGAGAAGGATGGTGGTGTGGCCATCCTTCCTGGGAATGATCTCTCTCTTTCCTTCTCTCTGCCTCTGTCTCTCTTCAGCAAGTGCATGTGCCCTATAGAATAAACCTAAAAAAAAAAAAAAGAAAGAAAGAAAGAAAGAAAGAAAAAGAAAATTTCTATCCCTAAAATTTTTCACATACATTTTCTAGCTTAAATGTGTTTATGCTGAGTGTTCCTTGCAACTGAAAAATTTACAATGAGTACATACTCCAAAGGAGAAGGTACCAGCAGTGGTACCAGAAAAAGGCAATATCAAATGAATTAGTTTACAGGTCAAATACTACTGCTTATTTTAACACTCTATTGTAATAACTAATATTGATAAGCCAAACAGAACTTGGGAATCTCTATTCATATATAGAGAACTCGCTGGTCAACTTGTTCAATGGTTTTACTAAAATAAAATTTTATCCTGGATCAATTGATCAACTCAACCTTTGTAAGAAGTCATCTTAGTGTTTGAAAAGACTAGATTTATATTAATTTAATCCAACACAAGGGATGAACATCAACTTAACTAGAACAAAGTATACAAAAAGCATGCTGCTGTTCCCAGCTAACAGACACACAAGCACACACACACATGTGTACACAAAAGTACACACACAGGGACACACGCATTTCATTTAACCTTCATGAAAGCTATGTCTTGTATTTCTCTGGGCTGGAAAAAAAATAGACACAAAGCCCACCAGTTACTTTTCACAATAGTAAACTCTTTGGATCTTCAAATCTGCTAAACTAGTAAAGCTAAATTACATCTCTGTCCCAAGGACTTTCACCATTTGCCTCCTGGTAAAATATACAAAGAGGAACAATTTCTAATAACTACCTGAGGCTATCAAATCCAAAAAGAATAAGCATGAAAAGATTCACAATATAGAAACTATCTGGAACCAACCTATCCTCTGCTAGACAGACTGCCACACAACAAGCAAGGTTGGGGACAATGATATAAACCAGCTCTATTCTGATGGTCCTGTGCACAGTGGCCCCTGTGGCATGTGAGGTCAGCAGGCAGTAGAGGCTAGGCAGGTCAGCAAGTATTGAGACTGATGCTCCTCCAGTCATGGAGGCTGCATCAGTGCCATACCACCCAAAGCCAGTTCTCGACAGAGAGGCAGCATCCACCTGCAGCTGGCAACATTGACGAGGCTTGACACAGAAGGAGAGCCTCCAAAATGCTTCCATTTAACAGATGAAGAAATTAGGGCTTGGAGAGGACACATAACCATCCCCAGTCCCACAGCTGGTAAGATGGGGGCTACCTGGCCATCCATGGTCACAGAAGCCAACAGAAGAGTTTGTATAGTCATTTTTTCAGCTTACTACAGAAGAAGAGAGCTCGGATTCGAATCAAAGTCAGGGAAACACAAGCCTCGCTCTTTTGTGTTGTACTGGGACCAGCAGATGGTGTAATGGCTGCATTGCTGGACTCCCATGTAGTTGACTGTGGTTCGAGTCCTGGACCCAGCTATTTAAAACTCAGGCTGCGTGCATGTGTTTGTGTGTATGCCCAATATCCCAAGAGAAGAAGAAGGAGAAGGGATTGTGGCATGGCCATCTGCCCGGGAGGTGATTTCTTGCTTTCTGTTTCTCTATGTCTCCAGCAAGCGCACATGCCTTATAACAAAAATCTCTCTTAAAAAAAAAAAAAAATCACAGAATATTAGAGGTACTTAAAAGGTACTTCAGTCCTCACTATGTCTAAAAAAAAAAAATTGGGAAAGTATGGACAGCAGACTAATCTTCAGGTGAATTTTACCCTAGTTGATTTAGCCAGGTCTAAGCCAGACTATGTCCAGACCCTGTGTTCTCCTCTTTCAGGACACTGTCTTCCCTAGCCTACCTTTTAAAGTTTATTTATTTTATTTATTCCACAAGCAAGAGAAACAGAGAAAGACCAGGACACAGCACCTCCAACAGGTTCTTGATGCCATGACCCTCCCCCAGCCTCAGCCAGCCCCAGATCACAGGCACACATGCCCAGCAAGCTCAGGGAGATCTCCAGATGCAAACCCAGAACCTTTCCATGTGAGTCAGTCTCAGAGTGTCATATTTTGTATATTTTGTGTCACTTTCTACCTTTTTTTTTGGGGGGGGGAGAGGTTTTTGCTATAGGGTGCATGCACTCACCAGAAAGACAGAGAGACAGAGAGATAAAAAGCAAGAAATCACCCCCCCCAGGGGGGGTGGCCACGCCACAATCCCTTCTCTTCCATTCTCCTCTTGGGATCTTGGGCACACATGCACCACGCACCCTAAGTGAGTTTAAGCCACCAGGTCCAGGACTTGAACCACAGTCAACTACATGGGAGCCCAGCGACATAGCCATTACGCTAACTGCTGGTCCCTCCCTAGCCTACTTCTGAGCTTAAAAAAATTGTCACAAAATTTTAGAATAAACCAAGGTCTATATTTAATCTCTGTTATTGCTGAATTGTGTCTTGTGAAAATTCATATGTGGAAATCCTAACTCTCCATACCTCAGAGTGTATTTGAATTTAAAGAGAAAAATCTTTCAAGAAGTAATTAAGTTCAACCAGCTCAATCCAATATGACTTTGATAGTTACAAAAAGAGGATACTAAGACAGACGCACCCAGAAGAAAGACCATGTGAAGACACAGAGAGCAGACCATGAGAAGCCAAGGAGGGAGGCCTCAGAAGAAATCAAGCCTGCTTACACCTCGCTCTCATATGGCTCCACACAGAATGTGATAAAAAAAAAAGTTGTTGATTCATCTATCTTTTCTGTAGTACTTTGTCATGGCAGCCTTAGAGAAGCAATACAAAACTAATAACATTTTATCTCATATCCATCAACATGTGATGAGCTATTTTTAAATAAGATAAACAAGGCTCCATAATCAGAATTAAAATTAATGCATACTATGCTACGTAAGCTCATTGCTCGAGATACAAGCATAAAACTGAGAGACTTGGATTGATTTTTATGTACAGAATAAATTAGTCCATTAAATTGAAAAAAATGGGCAATGAATGTTTGTTAAACTTCATCCCTCAATGATAAGGAGAAAAAGATGAGGTCAAATTTCTCTTTTAATTAACTAAAAAAATTCACTGAAGAAATGGGATTTCAGACGTAGGTATATAAGGCATTAAGGAAATATTTGCAGCACAGAAAAGAAGTTTGAGATGGGGGGTTTGCTGAGTGTTCTCAATTGGATGCAGGTTACAAAAGACCAGAGAGATTGAGAACTGAGGACTACGAAACCTTTCCCCGAGAAACAGACCAAAATATCCTTGGGCATTCTCAGGGGATACAAGAAATTAACTGTTTTGGGGGGAGGGGTGGTTTAGAGAAATTTTTGCTATAGAGCGCATGCACTCACTAGAGAGACAGACAGAAAGCCAGAAATCACCCCCTGGGGAGGGGGATGACCACACAGTAATCCCTTCTCCTCTATTCTCCTCTCAGGATTTTGGGCACGGGCGCACACACACACACACACACACACACACACACACACACACGCCTGACGTGAGTTTAAGCTGCTGGGTCCAGGACTTGAACCGTGATCCACTATGTGGAAGTCCAGCAACATAACTCTTACACCATCTGCTGGTTCCTGGACCTGGCAGCCTAAAAAATTCTCTGGGTGTTTGTGCCTACATACCCAAAATCCCAAGAGGAAAATGGAGAAGAAGGGATTACCATGCCCCTGGGGGAGAGCGCTCACTCTCTGTCTCTCCAGTGAGTGCACATGCCCCATGGCAAACAAAAGCAAACAAACCACCACCACACTATTACCTGTATACAGACGGAACTTCAGATTACAGCTTAAATGCTTTCTTCTCAAAGGACACATATCAGGGGACTTCAAAAAGTTTCTTAAAAATGGAACTAAAAGTACGAGTCTATTTGGGTGTAAAAATTGTGAAATCCATGCATAGACTTTTCATAATGCAAATTTTCCATGAGTTTTTGAAGGCCCCCTTTGTATATTGAACATGTTGGATTTTAAATAGTATTGTCCCCAGAGTTTTACTATTGCAATACATTATGACCTATTGTGCAGTTATCCTATTGTTTAGAATACAATTAAGCATTTATAAACAGCTAAATTAAACTATTGCGCAGTTCTAGGAAGCAGGGGAACTTCAACTTCAAGTAAACTGGCT